TGCGCAGGTGATGATTCATGCTTTATTGCGTCACCAAAGATCATCGAAGGTCAAGAACTTCATGCGCAGATCCTGCAGTTGTGGGCGCGCATTGGATTCCATATGAAGATTGAACTTCGTGATATTCGCGCATTGTTCGTGGGGTGCTGCATTGGCCTTGACGAGCGAGGCCCGAAGTTCGACGAGAAGCGACATGGGTGGATGATGATCCCAGACGTGGATCGATGCTCCTCGCGAGCTGGGCGAGTAGTTCCCCGGCGACGATTGAAGCCATCGACGCAAGCCAGACTGACGCGCGCGTGAAATTGGCGGGTTCGGCAGCAGCGCCACGGGCCCGTGAGTTCGCAGGACTCCCGATCTGAACGCGCGGACGAATGCAGAGCCGGATGATAAAACTTAGCTCATCGATCACATCCGTGCCATGAGCGCCACGCGCGGAATCGAAGGCAAGAGGGGAACGGGTTTTCGGAGAGGAGAGGCGACAGGTGAACGCGAAGAGGGCCCGCGTTCGAGGATGCGCGAACTCCTTCACACCTGGCGATATCAGGCTCCAGGCACGTCGTTTACATCTGAGCGGGGGCAGCAGCGCGACTGTCATGGCGCGAATAATCGATGCCTGCGTCGGCGAGCAGCGATGCCATCCGCGCGTGTTCCGGCGGCCGGGCCGCCATCCATATCACGCTATCATTGCGTGTCGTCGTCGTCGCATTGCTGTCCTCATTGCTCCCCTTCGCTTTGCTGTGCGCTTCCCTTGCTGACTCTGCTGCCCTCTGTCTTCTCTTCCCCCCCCCTTTCTCCCTCTCCCCCCCCTTCCCTCTCCTGTCCCTTTATCTTGTCGGCGTTGCCCACCCCCCCGCCTTCCCCCTTCCTCCCCTTCGCCCCCTCTTCTCCCCGGCTACCATTCTCGACCGTTGCCGCCGAGTCCTCGGTGAGCGTTGCGCGAAGCGGTGCGGCGCGCGCCCGGCGGCTCCTCGGCCCGGCGCCGTATCCGAGTTTGCCGATTCTGCCCGCGGCGGGCGCGCCCCGCCCTCGGCGGCTCTTCCACGCGCGAAGGGCGTCTCGGAGCCGTCGACATGAGAGGCTCGACGTTGGCCCAGCGGCCAAGTGCTTTTCCGACGGGGGTCGAGCGCAGCGGCGCTTCCGCCCGGGAGGAGGGGGCGTCGCGGCGGAGGGGCTGAGGACAGCCGCGGGGGAGGGCGAGCGGCGCGAGGGAATTGGAGGAGGATGGGGATGATGAGGAGGAAGGGGAACACCGCAAGGAGGGAGGGGGGGGAGGGGGAGGAGGAGGAGGAAGAGGAGGAGGAAGAGGAAAAGGAGGAGGAGGAGGAGCAGTGGATGGAAGACAAGGAGCAGGAGAAAGAGAAGATGGAGGAGGGGAAGGAGGAAGAGGTGGTAGTAGGAGTAGTAGTAGTAGTAGTAGTAGTAAGTAGTTGTAAGTAAGTAGTAGTAATAGTAGTATAGTAGTTAGGCAGTAGTAGTAGTGGTAGTGGATAGTGGTAAGTATTAAAAAGTAGTAGTATAACGTAGTATAGTAGTAAGTAGTAAAGTAGTACAAATAGTACTAATAGTCGGATTAGTGGTAAACCGTAGTTGAGATTGTAGTGGTAGCTTGCTATAGTTCGTCGTAGTATAGGGTAGTGGTGAGTATGTGTTACTGGGTAGTAGTAGTAAGTAGTTAGTAGTAGTGGTAGTAGTGGTAGTAGTAGTAGTAAAAGTAGTAGTAGTATAGTTGGTAATAGTGGTAATGGTAGTGGTAGTAGTAGTAGTAGTAGTAGTAATAATAGCAGTAGTAGTAGTAGTAGTAGTAGTAGTAGTAGTAGTAGTAGTAGTAGTAGTAGTACTAGTAGTAGTAGTCGTAGTCGTCGTAGTGGTAGTGGTCGTAGTAGTAGTCGTCGTCGTCGTCGTGGTAGTAGTAGTAGTTGTAGTAGCGGTAGCGGTAGTAGTAGTAGTAGTAGTAGTAGTAGTAGTACTAGTAGTAGTTGTAGTAGTAGTAGTATTAGTAGTGGTAGTAGTAGTAGTAGTAGTAGTAGTAGTAGTAGTAGTCGTAGTCGTAGTCGTAGTCGTAGTCGTAGTCGTAGTCGTAGTCGTAGTCGTAAGTCGTAGTCGTAGTCGTAGTCGTAGTCGTAGTCGTAGTCGTAGTCGTAGTCGTCGTAGTAGTAGTAGTAGTAGTAGTAGTAGTAGTCGTCGTAGTCGTAGTCGTATAGAGTAGTAAGTCGCACTATAGGAGTAGTAGTCGTAGTACGTAGTAGTATACTAGTAGTAGTAGTAGTAGTCATGGTCGTTGTAGTCGTAGTAGTAGTATGTAGTAGTAGTAGTAGTAGGAGGAGTAGTAGTAGTAGTAGCAGTAGCAGTAGTAGTAGTAGTAGTAGTAGTAGTAGTGGTAGTAGTGGTGGTAGTAGTAGTGGTAGTAGTAATGATAGTCGTAGTAGTAGTAGTAGTGCTGGTAGTAGCAGTAGTAGTAGTAGTAGTAGTAGTAGTAGTACTACTACTACTACTGCTAGTAGTAGTAGTGGTGATCGTAGTAGTAGTAGTAGTAGTAGTAGTAGTAGTCGTAGTCGTAGTCGTAGTCGTAGTCGTAGTCTAGTCGTAGTCGTACTCGTAGTCGTAGTCGTAGTCGTAGTAGAAGTAGTAGTAGTGGTGGTAGTAGTAGTAGTAGTAGTAGTCGTAGTAGTAGTAGTAGTAGTAGTAGTAGTAGTAGTAGTGGTAGTAGTGGTAGTAGTGGTAGTAGTGGTAGTAGTAGTGGTAGTCGTAGTAGTAGTAGTAGTAGTAGTAGTAGTAGTAGTAGTAGTAGTAGTAGTAGTAGTAGTAGTAGTAGTAGTAGTGGTAGTAGTAGTAGTAGTTGTAGTATTAGTAGTAGTAGTAGTAGTAGTAGTAGTAGTAGTAGTAGTAGTAGTAGTAGTAGTAGTCTGGGGGTGGTGGTAGTAGTAGTACCATTTGGGCAGTCCGGGGTCGATGCTCCGTGTTTGGAGGCCCGTGAGCCCTGGCTGGATTCTTTGGGATTCTGCGAGGATTCAGCATGACTCCTGCGGATTCAGCAGGAATCTTGAGGCTACTGAGGGTGCGTCAGGATTCTGGATTCATCTGGATTTTTCTGGATTCCGCTGGGTCCAATGCTTACGACCTTGAACCCAAGGCCTAGGGCCCATGGTTCGAGGCTCAGGGCACAGAGCCTAGGGCCAAGAACCCATGGCTCAGAGCTCAGGGCCCAGGGCTAATGGTTCAGAACTCAGGGCCCAGGGCTCAAGTCTGAAGCCAGGGCTCAGGGCGCATGGCACAGGGCACGGGGCACAGGGCTCAGGGCACAGGTCGCAGGGCTCAGGGCGCAAGGCTCAGGGCCCAGGGCCCAGGGCCCAGGGCTCAGGGATCATGGCTCAGGGCCCAGGATTCGGGGCGCAACTCACAGGGCACGGGGCGCAGCTCTCAGGGCTCCGGGCGCAGGGCCCATGGCCCGAGGCGGATTAGGGGAGAGAGATGCGCAGGAGGAGGGCGGTGGGAACGACGGGCTGCACATCTGCGCTGCCACAGGTGGTCCGCCGCATTCGGCCCCTAGAGCCACAGTTTTTCGACGGGGCCCCCAAGGGGAAGCTTGCAGGCAGAGTCTGCAGGTTTGCGTGGCCTTTTCCCAGGGATCCGACGCTCCAAAAACACAAGAGTGGGGCGTTTTGGGTTCATTTCGGCCTTCGGAGGCCCTGGCCGGGCCTCGGGAAGTGGTCCAGGCGTTTGGGAAAACCAGCCCTGGGGGAGTGGTCCAGACCTCCGGGGCCCACGCACGAAACAAAATTGGAGCAGCCGGATGTTTGGGTTCATGGGAGGTTCAGAGGGTCAAATTCTTTGCGGTCTGGGGCATTTCGTCTGGATTGCGTCGGTTTTGGTCGACGTTTGGACAACATTTCGACGAAACTTGGACGACCGGGTGAAGAGGGTCGAGCTCTGAACGAGATCCTGTTGAAATCACGTTTTTGATAGAGCCGCGGAGGTCCACAGGGGTTCCCATGAAGGCTCCTCCAGACAAGTAGTGAGTTTTTTGGGGTATGGCTTCGACGAGCCGGTACTTGGGAATATTTTCGCTTCCTTTGGGGGGGCGAGCGGCCTTGGGAGCTCCTGGAGGGCATGATCAATTAACCACGCCGTGCGTGAGGAGTGCCGAGTTGAAGCCCCTTCGAGCCGTGCTGGTGGGCAGCTGAGGAGTGCATTCGGGGTGAGAATCATGGAGCCTTCCTGGGACCATTTTTGGGGCCAGCTGAGGGCCCTTGGGCCATTGGGTGCCGACCCGGTACCAGCTTGGGGCCCTTGGGTGCCCTTGGGTGTCGACATGGTACCATGGGTGGAACCTTGGGGCCCTTGGGTGTCCCTTGGAAGACCCGGGAAGATTGGGTGCCTCTACCCGACCCGGGAAGATTGGGGGCCCTTGGGTGGAACCATTTTTGGGGGCCAGCTGAGGGCCCGTGGGTGCCGACCCGGTACCACCCCGGGCGCAACCTGCGGACACTGACCCTGGGCCCTGCCTGGGCCCAGGATCGGCGCAGAGTCCGATCCCACCTCGGCCAGGACGGCGTGCGCTCCTCCTCCTCCTCCTCCTCTTTTTCCTCCTCCTCCTCGGCCAGGACGGCGTGCGCTCCTCCTCCTCCTCCTCCTCTTTTTCCTCCTCCTCCTCCTCCTCCTCCTCCTCCTCCTCCTCCTCCTCCTCCTCCTCCTCCTCCTCCTCCTCCTCCTCCTCCTCCTCCTCCTCTCCTCCGATCCCGAGCCAGGGGTGGGCCTCGCCAGGATCGGACACGGCCAGGAAGAGGAGGAATCCGTTCCAAGGCGTTCCAACACGATTTGAGGAGGCCGCGGCGCCCGAGACAGCCTCCAGAGCCGACGGATCCCTGAGACTCTCGATTCATCCTCGTCCGAATTGTTCCTCGTCCTGGCTTCGTGCCAGAGGATCGGTGCAGGTGCATGTTTAGCGTCGCTCGATGGTCGTCGTCGTCGCCGTCGCCGTCGTCGTCGTCGCCCTGGGCAGGTTGGCGGCGCGCCCAAGGGCCAGAAGGGGGCGGAGATGATCGGCAACTTTGTGGTGCACGAGCTGCTCGGGCAGGCGCGTCGCCCGGGCGCGGTGGCGGCCCGAGGGGGGGTCCGCGGGCGTTGTTCGGGGTGGGCGCGGCGGGGGCAGCGTCCGGCGGGAGTCGGCTCAGGGCCCTTGAGCTTCGAGGTTCGACGTTTCGGACGGTTCCGTGCGTGTTCGGCGGGTCTCCTCTCCTGCTCCTCGGCGCGCCGCGGTGCCTCTGCCGTTCTCGTGGTGCCCCACTGCGCCCGCCCGCCGGCTCCAGCTGCTGGCAGCCGCCCTCCCGCCACTTTGGCCGCCGTGGTTTGCCGCGGCCGCCCACCGCGCTCTGGCCCTGCGCTCCTGGCTGCTGCTGCCCCACCCAGCTGCTCATCGTCGAACTCTCCGACGTCTGAACGTCCCGTCATCCTCTCGGCAGTCCCCCCCCCTCTTTGCCCGCTGGCTAATTCGCTTGTTAGTGCCCATTGCTAGCTTCTCGCTGGAGCGGAGGTAGCCGCCTCGCCGCTGACGGGAAATGTGTTCTCGGCGGTTTTCCAGCCTCCGGGTGCGCTCCAGCAGCTTCGCCTCGCCGAGGGCGTTCCAGTTCAGGGGTCGTCCTGAACGGCCCCTGGAGAGCCGAGTTATGTCCCGAAAACCAGACGACGAGGGTCATCTGGTATACGTTGATGGAGGATGCATCGGTCCCCAATCGTCCATTGATCCCCCAGGAAAATTCGGGTTCGCCATCGGTCGCCTATCGCCGATGTATTGGCGACGTATTTCCGATTTCAGGTCGATGTTGCCCGCTGAGCCGATCCCTCCCTAACGTTGGCCCCTCAGGGGGTGGACGCACCGGGGGCCAGCGCTGACAATCAGAAGAGGAACCGGTACCAATACTCGATGGAAGAAACACGGGGATCATGGCCAAGACGTCGCGGGATCTTGCCGATGTTGGTCTGGGTCATGGTCCATGTCGGCCGTCGCCAGTTCGCGAGGATGGTCCACGAATCGACGCTGACCAAAATCGACGGTGACGAAGATCGACACGACGTTTCCACGTTCTGTCGTGGTCATGGTTCCCGTGCTCCCAGACTTGCAACGTCTTGAAACAACCACAGGACCGAGTTTCTTCGTCGCTTTCGACATCTGGGGCCCCGGGACCGTCAGAAAACGATTCAGGGTGAAAAGCTGGTCGGGGGGAGAAGGGTCGGTCGAGATTGCCGGGGACCGCGTATTGAAGAAAGCAGGACATCGCATGTCTGGGTCTCTCATGGCAGGAAAGACTGTGTTGCCGCTGCTCGTCCGGGAGAGCCTTCGCCATGCGCGCGGAGTCCGCGCCGCCCGGCGCGGCCCTCTGGGGGCCAGCCCTCTTCTTTCTCCGTCTCGGTCCACCGAACCACCGAAGCATGAAAGATCGGCACGACCATATTTTGTCGTCGCTACTCTATCCTTGGTCGTTGACCTTGGGGTGTGCACATGCGCGATTCCTATTGTCTCCCTTCCACTTCCTCCCCTCCTGCCGCTTTGCCCTCCCTTCCTTCGTCCCATGCCCCCTCCGCCCGAGTCCGGGGCTACTGCAGCTTTTGCCATCGTCGCTGCACTGCTGGGTGTCGACGCGCTGTCATTCCCCTCAGCTTTCCTCTGTCTCGGGCCCCTCCAAAAGACACATACTCTTTTTGTCGCCACGGCTGGATTCTCTTTGAAATCGGTGCTGACTCTAGGAGCAGCGATATCGGCATTTTTTCGGGCCCCCACAGGGGGGGCAGCCGATCCCCTCTGGCCAGGCCCGGCTTTGGGAGCCACTGCAATCTGTTCGTGACGTCGGTTCTTGGGGATGGGATCTCGACCGGTTCCCTGGGGCCGGCTTTTCACCTTGACCTGTTTTCCTCCTGCATGCCTGCCTCCCTCGTCGTCGTCGTCGTCGTCGTGGTCTTCGTCGTTTCGTCGTCGTCTTGGCGTCGTCTCGTCGTCGTCGTCGTCGTAGTTGTTCGTAGTCGTCGTCGTTCTCCTCCTTCTCCTCCTTTGCGACCACTGCGCGATGCTGGCGGGCCCACTGGTGACAGCAAGCTGCCTCGCCTTCCTCCCCTTCCTCTTCCTCCCCTTCCTCCTCCTCCTCCTCCTCCTCCTTCTCGTCCTCCTCGTCCTCCTCCTCCTCCTCCTCCTTCTCGTCCTCCTCGTCCTCCTCCTCCTTCCCCTCCTCCGCCGCCTCCTCCTCGACGGTTACCAACTATGACTACTGCCCTCCCTTCTACCCCCAAGATGGCTGGGGAGCGGCCCGCCACCCTCCGTGTATTTTTTTATCGGATGTCAAGCGGGAGCATCTGCTGAGCTGCGGGGGTGGACGGACCTCCAACCCTGACACGTCGATTAGCGAATTGGCCGTTTTCGGTTCGCGAGAGGGCGTCGCGGCCGTCATTTTTGCGGGTCCAGGTCCGTCGTTTTCGGTCCTAGGCTGTTTTCACTAAAGAGAGGTTTATTATCCCAGTGCGACCCTACCTAGGAGTTGGAGCACCTAGGAAAGCAGCATTAGTAGTAACAGTAAAGCTAAGCTAAAGCTAAGCTAAAGCTAAGCTAAAGCTAAGCTAAAGCTAAGCTAAAGCTAAGCTAAAGCTAAGCTAAAGCTAAGCTAAAGCTAAGCTAGCTAAGCTAAAGCTAAGAAGCTAAGCTGAAGCTAAGCTAAAGCTAAGCTAAAGCTAAGCTAAAGCTAAGCTAAACTAAGCTAAAGCTAAGCTAAAGCTAAGCTAAAGCTAAAAGCTAAGCTAAAGCTAAGCTAAAGCAAAGGCTAAGCTAAAGCTAAAGCTACAGCTAAGCTACAGCTAAGCTAAAGCTAAAGCTAAAGCTAAAGCTAAAGCTAAAGCTAAAGCTCCCAGGGGACTGGGGGAACCGCTCCCAGGGGACTGGGGGAACCGCCCGGGGCGGGTTACACTGCCCGGCCCCTTTAAGCGAAGAGAGTAAGAACCCTTCTAGGCAGAGCCTAGGTAGGGAATCATGGGTTAAGGAACTCACAGTCTCAGAATTTGAATAAAACCCAGAATTGCTATTGAAACCTTAGGATCTACATCGAAGCATTAAGAATAATCGAGACTCTGGCCGAAACCGTAAGTTGTCTTAAGCATCGCCTAGGGTGTGTATATACAGTCAGACTATGCTACGCTACGCTACGCTATGCTATGCTGCACTATGCTATGCTATGCGATGCTATGCTATGCTGCGCTATGCTATGCTACGCTAGGCTGCGCTATGTTATGCTAGGCTATGGCATGCTATGCTATGCTGCGCTATGCTATGCTAGGCTGTGCTATGCTGCGCTATGCTATGCTATGCTATGATATGCTATGCTATGCTATGTTATGATGCGCTGTGCTATGCTTTGCTGGGCTATGCTAAGCTAAGCTAAGCTAAAGCTACGCTAAGCTAAGCTAAGCTACAGCTACGCGAAGCTAATATGAAGCTACACTAAGCTAAGGTCAGCTAAGCTAAGCTAAACTGAGATACGCAAAGCTAAGGTAAGGGGGTGCAACTGGGGGAACCGCGGGGCGGGGACCGGGGGAACCGCCCGGGGCGTGGTCCATTGCCCGGCCCCTTTAAGATAGAGAGTAAGAACCCTTTAGGCAGAGCCTAGGTAGGGAACTAAAGGGAGGTTTGTCCACCGCCGAATGTTTTTCCCAACCATCCTGTGGTGTTGGGTCCTCGTTTTGAAGAGACGGTGCCCCGCGTTCTCCTTCCTTCCTTCCTTCCTTCCTTCCTCCCGCTGCCTCCTCCCCCCTCCCATCATCATCATCATCATCATCAACACCCAATTCGGCACACCCCTCACACGTTTCGTGGCTCCATAGGGAGCTCCACCGAAGGCCCCAGCGCCCGCGGCCGCATGCGTCCCCCACACCCATTTCGGCACACCCCTCACACGCTTCGTGGCTCCATAGGGAGCTCCACCGAAGGCCCCAGTGCCCGCGGCCGCATGCGTCCCCCACACCCATTTCGGCACACCCCTCACACGTTTCGTGGCTCCATAGGGAGCTCCACCGAAGGCCCATCCGCGGCCGCGTCACCCACACCCATTTCGGCACACCCCTCACACGTTTCGTGGCTCACACGCTCCACCGAAGGGCTCCCTAGTTTCGTGGCTCCAAGGAGCTCCCCGAGCCCCAATGCGCCGCGGGCCGCATGCGTCCCCACACATTTCGGCACACCCCTCACACGTTTCGTGGCTCCATAGGGAGCTCCACCGAAGGCCCCAGTGCCCGCGGCCGCATGCGTCACCCCACACCCATTTCGGCACACCCTCACACGCTTCGTGGCCCATAGGGAGCTCCACCGAAGGCCCCAGTGCCCGCGGCCGCATGCGTCACCCACACCCATTTCGGCACACCCCTCACACGTTTCGAGGCTCCATAGGGAGCTCCACCGAAGGCCCCAGTGCCCGCGGCCGCATGCGTCACCCACACCCATTTCGGCACACCCCTCACACGTTTCGTGGCTCCATAGGGAGCTCCACCGAAGGCCTCAGTGCCGCCGCCCGCATGCGTCACCCCCACCCATTTCGGCACCCCCCCCCGCATTTCTCGCACGACAGGGTCATCACCACGGTGGCGTGCCAGGGGCGCACCATGCGCGAAGGCGACGGGGCGGGGGAACGGCGCTCCGGGGGCGGCCAGACCTCCGGGGCGCGAGCAGTCCGCGGCCAGACCATCTCTCGGTCCTGTGGACTCTCGCCCTGGGCCGTCGGCTGCCCGGCGCGCTGCTCCCTCGGTCGACGTCGCGCAGGCGTGATCCTGGATTGCGGCCGCCACGAGGTAGGGAACGGCAAGAAGGAGGACGACGACTGGTGGCTGGAGCTCTACGCGCTGCTCTCGCGCGCCACGCGCCACGAGGACCTCCTGCTCATGCGGGCGCCGCGCATCGAGTTCTTCCTGGCAGGGCCGCCGCAGGGCTTGCGGAAGCAGCTGGAGCAGTTTGCGGCGCGCACGAAGCGGCGCAGGAGGGAAGCGACGGCCCTCGCCAGGGAGCTCGGCTTCACCGAGTTCATCCGCGAGGCCTGACCTGAGGAGCGTCTCCCCCGAGCCGCGCCTTCTCTCGACTGCCCGACTAATTGTTTGGCCTCGCGCCGCGGACGACCCGCGCGCGTCGCTGGGACCCTCTCGGGGCGACCAGCGCGCGTCGCGGGAACTCCGTGCTGCGGGGGGCTCGGCGCCTCGTTCGCCCGTCGCCGCTCTGCCCAGCGGTCAGAGACTTGCCCGCTATCAGCCAGCCAGTTAGCTAGTCAGCTCTCTCTGCTTCGCGCAGCGGACGACCCGCGCGCGTCGCTGGGACCCCGCCCGGGGCGACCAGCGCGCGTCGCGGGGACTCCGCGCTGCGCTGCGCCCGCAGCCTTGGATTTTGGAGTGCGCGGGCAAAGAGGAAGGAAAAGAAGAGCCGAAAGCGGGCGCGATCCTCGCAAGAGGCGTGCCGACATGGGCGTCGCGACGTGCGGACGCTGCCGTCGGGGTTCCCGCGGAAGCTGCCTGCGGCGGCCACGCCTTGTGTCACGTGCGTTCGGACAGGCATGCTCGACACTTACATTAGGCGTTTCCATGATCGCATTCATGCAAATATATTCACTCGCGCGCAGACCCATTCATACTCAGATTCCCTCGCGCTCTGACTCACCCGCGTTCTTTCTCTCGTAATCAGATCTATCGTATTCCTTTGCGTTGTGTACCCCGCCACATTCCGGCACACTCCTCATGCGGTTCGCGGCCCCATAGGGAGCGCCACCGAAGAAGATACTCACAATTGCGATACTCACAACTGCATATGGTTGGGTCCTTCGTCAGGATAATTTTGTAGAAGAGAATCCAGTCATTTTGGGTCCTTCAGACTGGTGTTGCCGCTGCAGCGTGGGCCTCATTTTCGGATCGGCGTTTTGCTCCCGTCGTTCAAGATTGCACTCTCGCCTCGGCGCGTGCCGCTCTTCTGGATCCGAGTCTTTCCTCACCGTCGTCGCCCCCATTCTTTTCCCTCCGCCTTCACCTGGTCCTCCTTTTTCCCGCGCTTTACACTCCAGCTCCTGCTGATGCTGCTGCTGCTGCTGCTGCTGCTGCTGCTGTTCGTCCTTGTCTTCGTCCTCCTGCTCAGACTCCTGCTCATCCGCCACCTCCTCATCCGAAGTACGCAACTGTCGTTCCGATTGCTCATAACACGATAGGGGTCCTTTTTGGGGTTCCAGTTCCGCTATGGCAGACACGCGCCAGCGGATAGAGAACACATCAGCGCACTGGGAAGGGATGGTTGGGAGGGGTAGGAAGGCAGATCTGGCGCGATTGCACCTGGCTTGTCATCCTCCCCCCCCTTCTCCCTCCCCCCATTCCTCCCGCCCTTCCTTCCTCCCCCCTTCTCCCACTTTCCCTCCTCCTCGGCCTGGATGCACCTAGGTGTCCCTTCCCCCCATCACACAGGGGGCCTCCTCCTCCTCGTCCTCCTCCTCCTCCTCCGTTTCCTCCTTCCTTCTCCTTCCTCCGCCTCCTCCTCCTCTTCCTTCTCCTCCCTGCGCACGTCTTCTTTTGGTGTGTGGCTTGTCGATGGCCCACGGATTAACTAAGGGATTGCGCCCCCCCCTTCCCTCCACCCCCACGCAGTGGTGCGCCCACACGCATGGTGGTGCAAAAAGGTTGCCTCAGATACGCCCGCCCGGGTTTTCTCGTTTTGATCTCTGATCTTATCCGACTTCTCTTGTGGCAGTGCGCTCCTCATCCCTGCCCCCTCCTCCGCCTCCCTTCCTCCCTCTGCCCGCGCCCCCCCCCCGCGGCCGCAGGGCGGGTTTGGCAGCGTGCGCAAGGAGCGGGCCCGCTCCGTCTCCCTCGTTGGGGGGGGGGCTCGGCGAGGGGGGGAGGAGAGAGAGAGAGAGAGAGAGAGAGAGATGGGGCAGTGAGGAGGGAGCAGGGAAGAGGAAAAGGAGGAGGAAGGAGGCGGAACGATGGAGGAGGGAGGAGGTTTTGCCCAGCCCCTGCGTCCCGGAAACGATGGGGTTTACGAGTTTGGTCAACCTCGCAGCGCAGTCCCATGCACGACACTGCTGAGAGCTCCCTCTCGCGGACGCCGTCGCCCTCGACCCTCCTCTCGGCCCTCAGCCCTTCCCCCGCCGCTATTTCCGGGCGCCACGGCCTCGCCCGCCGCGCACGCGTCCCCAACCGCCAGCTTCGCAGTCGCCGAGCCCCAGCCCCGAGTGCGACGCGGCCCTCCGTGCGTGTGCCGCCATCGGTGTCACGCCGCCGCCTCGCACCCCCCCACTCCTCTCCCGTCCTCGCGGGCTGCGCCCCGGGAAGCCGTGCCCCGTCGCTGCGCCGACCGCTGCCTCTCGACTCTCGCCGCTGGCGCTTCGCCGCCGCGCCGCCGCTGGCACATCGCCGCCGCGCCTCCGCGGCCCGACGTCGCGCTGCGCCTTTCGGCCCCGCCGTCGACGGCTGGCTCGGAGCCGCCGTGCGCCGCCGCGGCACTTCGCGCGCAGGGAGGGAGGGAGGAGGGAGGAGTAGGGAGGGAGGAGGGAGGAGGGAGGAGGGAGGAGGGAGGAGGGAGGAAGGGAGGGGAGGAGGGAGGAGGGAGGGGGGAGGTAGGGAGGAGGGATGGAGGAGGAGGGAGCGAGGGAGGGAGCGGAGGGATGAGGAGGGAGGAGGGATGAGGGAGGAGGGAGGGGGGGAGGGAGGGGAGGGAGGGGGAGGGAGGAGGGAGGGAGGGGGAGGGATGAGGGGAGGGAGGGAGGAGGAGGAGGAGAGGATGAAGGGCGGGGGCGCGGTCAGTGCCGCGCGCGCGGCTGCATCTCCTCGTCCGGGTCCCTCTCCTCCACCTGCGCGCTGCGAGCCTCGTGCCCCGTGCGCGGCCCGCTCCGCCGTGGCCCAGCGGTAGGCCTGGGCGCGGTTACTTAGGGGGGAGCGGGGGGGGATCAAGGGGGGGAGCGCGGGTGAGGGAGGGGTGTCCTCCTCCTCCTCCTCCTCCTCCCTCCTCCTCCTCCTCCTGGTCCCGCCACTCGCCGTTCCTCCTCCTGCCTCCTCCTCATCCCCGTCCGCCCCTTCCTCGTTTTCTAGCTGCCTCGGAAGAAGCTGTGCTCTCCTCGTAGCTTCTTCTGCATGGCGCGCCTGGCGGGCGACTGTCATGCCTCCTGCAGGGACTCCTTCCGCAGTCGACTGCTCGATGGTCTGCGCTCGAACCTTGTCCTCCAGCCCCCCGTCCTCCTCGCATCCCTTTGTTCCTTCGGCCTTTTCCCTCATCTTTCTCCCTTTTCCTCCTTGCATTCCGCCTCGTCTTCTCTGTTGTTCTGTCTCACCTTCTTCTCCTCCCTCCTCGTGTTCTGCATTACCCTCTCCTTGCGTTACTCCTACCACCCCTTCATCGGCCTGCATGACCTCCTTTTCCTGACGCCTCTCCCGTCTGTCCGTCCGGTGCCAGAGCTGATGAGCTAGCAGTGGGCAGAAACCTCTGCTAAAGAGGAGCAGCACGGGTATGGGCTGAGTGCAGTCAGTGGGACACAGTCGTAAGGAAACGCCTGTGCACCCTTGGCCAAACACCCATCGCAGCACGGCTTGCGTCGGGATCCCGGTTTGCCCCGCGACCTTTTGATTCGCACAGCGAGGAGGCCGAGTCGTGTGAAGTTTTGTGGTCGCGCTCCATCTTCCTTCCCTCCCCTGGTGTGCCGAATTGTGCCAGCTCTTGCTCTCTGTTGTCGTCGTCGTTGCCCTCCTCCCCAAAAGAAAGAAATGCCCTTGGCCAACCACCCTTGCATCGGCGTCCCCCCGACATACTGATACGACGTGTGCGTCGCCCCCCCAGGGGCGACGCGCGTGCCGAGACATTTTATAGCATATGCGTCGTGGCGGGCGCTCTCTGACCGTAAGTACCGCTCGGGAAACGAAATACGCCAATCTTTGTGTACTATCTATCTATGTGTGTGTGTGTTCGGGTCGGACGCGCGCCTCCGAGGAGGGCACATAGTACTAGTATGTCCTTGTGCGTCCCCCCCAAAACAAATAAAAATATGCCCGTGGCCAAACAGGCTTGCAGCCTCTTCGTCCTCGTGCCGCCGCTTCCGCTCCCGCCCCGTTCCTCTGCCTTCTCTCTATGGTGCGTGCGTCGGGGGGCGGATCCTGCCGGGGCAGGGCTCGTTCCGAGCGGCGTACAGTCAGCCCGCATGGGAAGGAGGAACGATCTTCTAAGGTCACCCTTGTATCTTTCCCCTTCGGCCCATCCGTGGCCGCTTTCGCTGGCCGCGCCCCGCTCGCAAATTGTCGGCGTGGCCTTCCAAGGCATTTGCATCCTCATCCTGCGTCCTTATTCTACGGGTTGACTGTGTTGACGATGTCGTGGGTTGTTTTCGTTCGAGTGCCGTTTTACAGCAAAGAGGCGGGACGAAGACAACGAGGGGCACCGAACACAACACAAACGTGGACAACACCGTTTCTGTCGAGCCTTGTGCCAGGGTGTAGCATCCATGTTATCGCGCCTACTGCAACCTGCAAGGGTGTAGCATCATTGTGCTCGCCCCCACCTTCTGGGGGCCTCCGATCGGATTCTGGGGAGCGCGCCCCGTACACTGATGCAAGTCGATGTGGGTCGATGCGATCCTAAACATACTTACGTAGAGGTATCCACATAAATGCGTATCCGTACCCATACAACACATCTGGATAAACAGTGGAAGATCCAGCGCGAGTCGATGGACTGCAGAAGTCGTAGCACACGGTCACAACAGTCGCCGAAGAGACTTTGACTAGCAGGGAGCACGAGAGAAGAGGAGACCGAGGAGGAGGAGGCGGACGAGGGAGCAGGATGACGAGGAGGAGAAGGAGGAGGATGAGGAGGGGGATAAAGGATGAGGACCAGGGTGACGATCAGGATATGAAGGCGATGGAGGAGGAGGAGGACGAGGATCATGATAATGGAGGGAGAAGGAATCAGGAGATCAAGGATGAGGAGGCCGACTTTGCCAGGGTGTCCACATGGAGACGGGCGAGACGGCGGCTGTGAAGTTCGTGCCCAAAGGTCACGCCGAGGGGAACTCGCCCTCTGGCCTCGCCCCTGCCCTGCGCCCCACACCTCGCCCTCCTCCCTCCCGCCCCCTCCCCGCTCCTCCCTGTCGGGCCGGTTTGGGCGTCGGGCCTGGCCTTCGTGATCTCCCCGTCCCCTCCCCCCCTCCTCCTCCCCCTCGTCCCGGGGCGTCTCCTGGCGCTCGAGGAGCGGAGCCCGAGAGCAAGCTCCACCCCTGCCTCCCTCCTCGCCTCCCGCCCTCCCGCCCTCCCTTCCGACTCCCCTCCCCCCATGTGTGTCCTCCCTCCTCTTCCACCCCCTCCTCCTCCTGCTCTTGTCCCCGCTGCTCCGGCTCCCTGCTCCTGCTCCCCGTGCTGCTGCTCCTGGTTCTCCTCCTGCACCCCTGCACGGTCGGCACGCGCAGCCTTCGGAGGGCGTCGCCATCGCACCGGCGCAGTCCGGCCGAGGCCCCGGGCCATGGCACGTCACGTCAGCTCACCTCCTATTCCTCCTCCTCCTCCTTCTCCTCCTCCTCCTCCTTCTCCTCCTCCTCCTCCTCCTCCTCCTCCTCGTTCTTCTCCTCCGCCTCCTCCTCCGCCTCCTCCTGAGGCAGCGCTTCAATGAAGCGTCACGTCGCGTCACGACCCGGTGACGTCACGACCCTGTGACGTCCATGGCATGCCACGTCACGTCATGGCCCTGTGACGTACCCAACCCACCTGCGTCAAGTGACAGGAGGGGGTGGCCCGAGTTTGCCCGGACAGCGACGGAGCAGGCGCCGTGGTGTGATGTGCAAATTACCGTGGATGCGCTCACGCGGCACGACTCGCAGGACAACAAGAGAAGGACGAGGGGCGAGGGCCCAGGCTTGAGGAGGGCATGGGGGCAGGAACGAAGGGCAGGACAAGGACGCGCGGGGGGCCGAACCGTCAGCGCGGCAGCAGCAGGGGGAAGGTGGCAGAGGGCAGAGGACGACGACGAAGGTGACGGGAGGAGACCGAATGGTGTTGATTTTGTCGGTCGTGCACTAAAGATGCAGCGCTGCCTGCGCCATGTTGCCGCGGCGCTCGACAAAATGATGGAACCTGCTTATGGTTAGCGCAAGAAGCGAGCGACGCCTAGCTCGCCCGCCAGTTTCCCTGCTTCCGTCCTGCACTTTTCAGTGTGGGAGGTAAGCGCTCGAAAGCGCGCCGCCAGGTCCGCGGGCGGCCCGCGACAGCGCCCCGCTGGACCCCCCAGCATCCCTCGAAATTGGCGCCAATTTCGCAGGTCGCAGCCCCCACAGGATGATGTCGAATTTGACTTTGTGCAATGCGTCACTATGCAGGGCGCCCCAGCAACCCTCGAAAGTGGCGGCAGTTTCGCACATCGCAGCCCCCCAAGGATGGAGAGGTCTAATCTGAGTCTGGGTGGTGCCTCACTCCGGTGGACCCCCCAGCAGCCTTCGAAAGTGGCGACGATTACGCCGATCGCAGGGATGGCGGGGTGTAGTGTGAGTCTGGGCGGTTACTCCGCTGACCGTCCGGCAGCTCTCGGAACTGGCGACAATTTCGCAGGTTACAGCCCACCACGGATGATGCCGAATCTGAGTGCGCAGTGCGTCACTATGCTGGGCGCCCAAGCAGCCTCGAAAGTGGCGGCAGCTTCGCAGGTCGCAGCCACTTAGGGATGGCGAGGTGTAATCTGAATCTGGGTGGTGCCTCACTCCGGTGAACCCGCCAGCAGCCCTCGAAAGAGGTGGCAGTTTCGCATATCGCAGTCCCCAAGGGATGGCGAGGTCTAGTGTGAGTCTGGGTGGCGCCTCACTCCGACGGTCCCCCCAGCAGCCCTCGAAGATGGCGACGATTTCCCAGCAACCCTCGAAGATGGCGACGATTTCGCCGATCGCAGCCCCGCAGGGATGACAGGGTAGGAGGCAAGCTGGCACGCAGGAAGGAGCGAGACAAGAAGCAGATAGGAAAGATGAGAGGAGGAGAGAGGCGGGAGAAGGCGGAACACGTAGTGTTCTATTCGAATGCCCAACGCAGGAGGGTCGGGAGTGAATCCGGCGCGAACCCAATGAGGGGAAAAAGATCCCAAAATAGTAATTTAGCAAGGAAGGCATGTTGCTCATTGTTTCGCTTGGCTTTGCTTTGCGTTGCTTGACGTTGTATGGCATTGCTTTTCATCTCTCGGTGTTGTTTTGCATTGATTTGCGTTGCTTGAAATCGCTTGGTATTGCCTGGCATTGCTGGACATTGGTTGGCATTGCTTGGCGTTGCTTGGCATTGCCTGACAGTGTTCGGCTGTGCTTGGCGTTGTTTGGCGCTGCTTGGCATAGCCTTGCATTCGCATTGCTTGACGTTGCGAGGCATTGTTTGGCTTTGCCTGGCATTGCTTGGCATTGCTTTGCGTTACATAGCGTTGCTTAGCAGTGCATTGTGTTGTTTGGCAGCTGGGCTAAACAACGCGGGCAATTTGGCAACCGAGCAACCCAGGCAACCTAGGCAACCGTGCAAACAGGCAACCAGGCAACCCGAGGAGGGCAAGGCAATTCGGGCAACCCGAAGAGGCAGGGCAGCGAGGCAGCCCGAGGAAAGCCGGTAACCAGGCCACCAGAGGAAGTCGGAGCCTAAGAGACGGGGGTCAGTGCAAACGGGGGTCAGCCAGGGCGCCAGATCCTGCAGGATCCTGCGAAGACCCCCTCTGGCTGACCCGGGTTAGCGAGCCGCTCGTTGCCGCGAGGCGGCCGCACGTATTGGCTGACCCGGGTTTGCGAGGATCTGCGTTGCAGTTTTTTTTGTCCTGCATTGCAGTTTTTGGTTTCCTGCTGACCCGGGTCTGGATTGACCCGGGTCAGAAGATCCCCGAGGAAGGCCACCCAGTTGGGCCGGGCCCCCATGAGTTCATCACAAACAAATCGGATCTTTAGGCGAAACATAATCGGGGAATGACACTTTCGCGACAGAGTCTCCTAAACAATCGAACGCCAGTGTATATCTGTTTAAATTAGGTATTACCTATAACTTTCCGGTGTTGCACATGCGGAAGACCATGCAGGAGAAGAAGGCCCCAAGACGGCCCAGGAGGCTCCCCAGACAACCCAATTGTCTGTGCCCCAGGAGCTCCCCAAGAGAGGGCCCAAAGGGGGACCGCCAACCGATATTTCGAGGTCTGGCCCTAGAGGCCGCCTGTAAGCCCCCGGAGGCCACCAAGAGGCTCCCACGAAGCCCCGTGAGGCGCCCAAGAGGCCCCCAGGAAGCCCCAAGAGACCCCCAAGGGGCTCCCAGGGAACGCCCAAGAGGCCCCCCAACACACCCCAAGAAATCATGTCCCCAGAAAACCTTCTGGGCATATGGTCGATGGGCCCGAGAGTTTCTGGAGGCCCCCAAGGGGCCCCCAGGGAACGCCCAAGAGACTTCCCAACACACCCCAACAAACCATGTCCCCAGAAAGCCTTCCGGGGACATGGTTCAGCATGGGCCCGCGAGTCTCCGGAGGCTTCGAAGTACCATCATGCTACAGGAGAGTTGTTTGGGAAGTTGATTGGGAACATGACTGATCGTCTTCTCGCGGCCCTCCGCACATTGTTTCGCACAAAGTTGCCCAAAGTGCCCTCTTGAATCGACGACGACGAGACGACGAAGACGATGACGATGACGACGACGACGACGACGACGACGACGACGACGACGACGACGACGACGACGACGACGACGACGACGACGACGACGACGACGACGACGACGACGGCGGCGCGCCCCAATAGGCGACGACGACATTACGACGACGACGACGACGGCGACGAAGGCACGCCCCAACAGGCTCCCCAAGACGCCCCAAACCCATGCTCCCAGAAGGCCTTCTGGGAACCCGATTCATACGGCCTCCGCCCCCCTACACAACCATTTTCCTCGAAGGCCTTTCGGAATGCAGATTGGCATGCGTGGACTGTGGTCCGCTACTTCAGTGGAGCAGTGAATTCGTCGAGGCCTGGGGCCTGCTAGAACCTGAGCGCGCGCGAAGCGCGCGCGATGGTTCTAGTAGGTATGTGTGTGTATATATATATATATATATGCAAATACATTTACACATGTACATCTATACATATATATACACATGTACACATGTGCCTATTTACACATATGTATGTATGCATACACGCCTAGTTGGTGTGCACATCTGTGCTTTAACATACACATGCGTAACGATGCGTGTATACAACAATGGATACTGGTGTTCTGACCGTCGCCGTACTAATACAGGGCCCCGAGTGGGTTCTCTTTGGGATATCGTGAGGCCGTTTTCAGGCCGTCTTTAGGGCCTCCTAGGACGTCTTGGGGCCCTTTTGGGTCCTTTCGGTCCTTCAGGGCAACCTAGGGGGCCTTTGGGGGCTGTTTTGGGGCGGTCTGGGGGCCCAGTAGGGCTGTCTTCGGGCTCCTCCTCCTGCTCCTCCTCCTGCTGCTCCTCCTCCTCCTCCTCCTCCTCCTCCTCCTCCTCCTCCTCCTCTCTCTCCTCCTCTCTCCTCTCTCTCCTCCTCTCTCCTCCCTCCCCCTCGTCCTTCTGCCCCCCCGGGGGCGGCAGGCAGCTTCCGGCAGATCTCCGACCTGCAGCGGGTCTTCCAGGATGCCGCCGCCGCCGCCGGGCGGGGTGAGGGGGGGCCCGCCGTGGCGGGAGGCGGCCTCGCCCTCGTCTCTGGGCGGCGACGTTGGGGGGGGGGGCGCGCGGAGGCTGAGGAGGAGGAGGAGGAGGAGGAGGAGGAGGAGGAGGAGGTGGAAACCCAGGAGTCATCAACGATGTTGGAATAAGCCCTCCCTCCAGCCCCCTCCTCATCGGCCCCCCTGCAACGGTTCATTTCCACTGAGGGAGCTGCCTCGTTTGCAGACAACAGTTTGAAGACCCTGTAGCATGCCAAAACATTGTTATAGGGATTCCAACGGCACGGATCAACCTGACTGTTGCGTCTTGGCGAGCCTGGGATATCAACACCGCGAAACCAACGTAATTGCGCCGTCAGAATCCTGAACCCTTTCAAACCACCATTTCTGGTACGCTGATCATGGGAGTCCGCGAAGCTGTGTCAAGTTCAAAAAACGAATGTGCGCGGCGCTAAGGCGAGAGCCACATTTTGAAAAAGGAGCCGCCCTCAATCCGTGACTCTCCTACAAATGTTTACAAAGAATGTACGCGGCGCTATGGCGAGAGCCACGTTTTGACAACGGGCCGCCCCCAATCCGTGAAGCTCCTTGCAATGTTGTAAAACGAATGTGCGCGGCGCCAAGGTAGGAGCCACATTTTGAAAGCGATCCGCCCTACCTCTGTGAAACTGTCGCCAATGTTCAATCTTCAGGATCATACATGGTGAGGGAATCTCAGGCGAAACGCCCGGCCCGGCCTAAAACTGGCCTCGGGGTGCGACAGGGAGAAGTTTATGTATAAGGTAAAGGAATGGAGGAGGAGGCGGAGGAGGAGGAGGAGGAGGAGGAGGAGGAGGGAGGGGTTCGGCGACACGTCAGAGTGGTCCCTCGCCGTTCGGAAGTCTGCGGGTGGCCTCGGACGGTTACTGGAAATTTGCCTGCTACGCGTTGCGGGGAGCGTTCCTGGGGTGCTCGGATTGTCCCGAACGGCCGCCGGAGACCCGAGTTAGGACCCGAGAACGGGGTGGAGGGATGGACTTCTGATGCACGAGAGTGACCCTTCGCCAGAGTTGCCTTTGATGCGGGCCCGTTGAGGCTCCCCGATGGCCGGATTCGATTCGGCAGCAGAGGCCTGTGCGCCCGAGTTTTGCGCCCCCCTCCGCGCCCCTCCAAGAGAGTCAGGAGGCGAAGAAACAGACAGACACAAATAATCGGCGTTCCCGACGAGGATATGGGAAGATATGGGAAGTGGAAGAGAAGACGAACATCCAGAAAATATGGAGAACTATTGAGAATCCTGGAGTTTGTGCCTATTTATTTGTGTGTCCCTGGGCCCCTTCAAAGAATCCTCGCGCCAGAGGTCATGCTCTCTCTGGGTCGCTATTGCGCGTGTGCGGGGAGAGAGCGACGGAGGCGGGGGGAAGCCGCCGCCGCCGCCGCAGCGGGGGGAGGGTTCTTCAGGGGAGCGGGTGTGAGCAGGCATGCGGCAGGCGGCCCCCTCCCTCTCCCCTTTTAGAGGAGTGTCGCGGGTGGACGGGTGCTTTTGAGCAGGAGGAGGAGGAGAAGGAGGGAGGAGTTGGCGAGGGGGAGAGGGAGGTTGGCGAGTGGGGAGGTACAAGCTAGGTGCGCTTGCGCTATATCTGACATCCTACCTGTACGACCACCCTTCGGGTGAGAAGTCGTTTCGGGACAGGAACCAACGTCTCACTTACTGGATCACACTATCGATCTTGCTATCGATATCACTATCGATCTCACTGCGGATCTGTCTATCGATCTCACTACCGATCTCTCTATCGATCTCACTATCGATCTTACTGTCGATCTCACTGTCGATCTCACTATCGAACTCGCTATCGATCTCACTGTCGACCTCACTATCGAACTCACTATCGGTCTCACTATCGGTCTCACTATCGATTTCACTAATGGGGCATTGACTTGACACCGACGAGACACCGACGAGACACCGACGGGACACCGACGGAACATCACGGGACACCATAGGACAATGGCGGGACACCTTCCCCCCCCGCCTGCCCCTCCAGGGGGGGAGTCTATTGGTCTGGCCGCGGCCTAGTCAGCAGAGGAGCGTTTATTCCCCTCGCTCGCCCACGCAGCTTCGACTCGGTTCGCCCGCACACACGACGCGAACACGGAACCGAAATCGATTTCCTGGAGGGGGCCTTCTGTTTCATTGCGATCTCACACCCCAACCTCCGACCTTTCCAGCCCATCCCTTCCCATTGCGCTAAATTCTGTTGTACCCGCGGGGTCTCTCAGAAGGACATTGATGCCCCAAGTGGTCCGGTCCGATCGTGTGGAATGCAATCAGAGAGGGGGGCTTTGTACACTGGGGGAGGGGGAGGTGTATGAGGAGGAAGAGGAGGACGAGGTGGCAGATTAGGAAGAGGAGAAGGAGGAGGAGCAGGAGGAAGAGGAAAAGTCAGAGGACGGATGATTCGGATAATACTGCTGATGGTGATAATGATGGTGGTAATGATGATGATGCTGATGATCAACATGATGACGGTGATGATGGTGATGATGATGATGATGATGATGATGATGATGATGATGATGATGATGATGATGATGATGATGAGGTTGAGGATAATGCTGATGACGATGATGACCATGGTGATGCAGATAATGAGGATCGTGAGGATGATGGCGCTGATGATGATGGTGCCGATGATGCTGTTGTTGATGATGCTGATGATGTTGTTGTTGATGATGATGATGACGGTGATGGGGATGGGGATGGGGATGGGGATGGTGAACATGATGGTGATGATGATGACGATGAGGAGAATGAGGATGATGAGGATGCTGATGATGATGACGATGATGATGCTGATGATGACAATGATGATGGTGGTGGTGATGATAAAGAGGAGGATGAATATGATGATGATGATGAGGAGGAGGAGAAGGAGGATGAGGAAGATCAGGAGGAGGAGGAGGAGGAAGAGGAGGATGATGAAGACGAGGATCAGCAGCAGTAGGAGCGGGAGGTTACGTAGAAACTACATTAGGATGAACAGGAAGAACAGCGGAAGACGGAACGATGGACATTAGTTGTATGGCAACGACGAGGATCGAATCGGATACAGACATGTGGCCTGCGATTGGGCGGGGACGCCATTCTGAACAACGGGGGCAGCACACCGATCTTACACATTTGTCGAGGCATTCAGCGTGAACACGAGTTTTGGAAGGCCCAGCATGAGCAATGCCAACCCGAGGCAATCCTGTGTGAAAGATAGTGTGTGAGATGGGCTGGGGATCATTGAGAAAACGTCAGGGAAGAGAGGCGAGCAGCATTCACGTGGAATGATTCTTCGTGGGGTAGGAGGGGTGGGGGGGATGGGGTGGTCTAGCAGGAGGGTGTGGACGAGGAGGACGAGGAGTGACGGGTGGGTGGGTGGTTTGGGGGGTGGGCGAGCGAGGATGGGGGTGGAGATAGGGGGAGGGATGAGTGGGGGGAGTGGGAGGGAGAGAGAGCAGTCGAGAGCGAGTGGGAGGGAGAGAGAGCAGTCGAGAGCTCGAAGCTCGAGTGGGAGGCCCCCAAGATCAATGACGAGCTCGAAGCCTGGAGCCTGAGGCCCCAGATTGCCGGAAGCAGAAGAAAACGATACGCCCAATCCCAAACTCCAGCATAACGAGCCGGCTGGGGCGCAGGAGAGGCTCTCCCTCGACCCCCTCTTCTTCCATCCCCTCATTTGCGTCCTCCCTTTTGCCGTCAGTGTCCAGTCGTGGTCGCCGCCGCCGCCGTCGTCGTCAGTGTCCAGTCGTGGTTGCCGCCGCCGCCGCCGTCGGCGTCGCCACTGTCGTCGTCGCCGTCGCCATCGGCCCGCCAGGAGATCCAGTCCCTCCGCCAGCTGCGGCACCCCAATGTGATCCGCATCATCGACGTAGTGGACGCCCCTCCGCGCCCCCGCGGCGCTTCCCGCCGATCGGGAGGCGCAGGCCCTCTCCTCGCCGGGGCGGCGGGCGCGAGGCGGAGAGGGCGAGGGCCGGGGGCGGCGACGATAGAGCGGCGACGTATCGCCCCGGGGCGAGCGAGACGTGCAGCCAGGAGCCTGCAGCGAGGCGAGCGAGACGATCGGCGAGACGTGCAGCCAGAGCGAGTGAGACGTGAGGCCCGCGCCCTCCGACGAGGCTCCCGGGCGAAGGCGTGCAGGCGCCCTCGCCCCGAGAGGGCTCCGCCCCGCGCCGGCCGCCAACATGGCGAGGGCTCCGCTCGCCGCGCGCGCGCGCGACTGCGGCGCGCTCGCCGGCGCGCTCGCCCTCCGGCGGCCGCGCGGCACCGCGGCCCCGGCGCGCCTGGCCGCGCCCTCCTCGGGCGGGGCGGGGGCCTCGGAGGGGGACGTCCTCCTCGCGGGCGCCCTCGAGGGGGACGTCCTCCTCGCGGGCGCCCTCGAGGGGGACGTCCTCGGGCGCCCTCGAGGGCGCGAAGTCCTCGGGCGGGGCTGGGGCCCGGAGGGGGACATCCATAGGGGCGCCCGCGAGGGCGCGAAGCTCTTCGCGCGGCACGCTTCGCGCTTCGCGCCTCGCGTGCCGCCTCGTCCTCCTGTGCTCCCCTGGGGGGCGGCGCGAGGGCACGAAGTGCTTCGCGCTTCGCGCAGCGCGGAGCGCGACGCGCGAAGCTGGGCGCCCTGGGGCATGGTGCCGATCCCCCTCGTTTCCCTCCTTCCTGGGCCTCGTGGGAGGCCCTCGCCGTCACGGCTGCATTCGCCTCGAAGTTCGGCGGCGAGCGACGGGGGGGGGAATGAGACGGAGAGGGCCTTCTCAGAAGGCGGCGGGACTTCTCGGAAGCCCTCGCGCCTTCTGAGAATTTTTCCGTGTCTTCGGGGAAGGCTTAGGACATATCTCAGAAGGCTGGTGGACTTCCGAGCCTTCTGAGAAGGCCTTCTCCTTCTCACTTCCCCCCTGGCTCGCCGCCGATTCTGGGCCTCCCGGGATGCCCTCGTCGCGCGGCCGGCCTCGCCTCGGAAAGTCTGGTCAAAACGCGCCCTGGGAGAGGTCCGTGAAGTAGCGGTATGGTTACCTCTTGGTCTCCCCAAGAGCGTTCCGGAACGCTCACAGAGCGTTCATGAACGCTCTGTGAAGGTTGCGGCGCCCAGTACATCCTCCAGAGCCGCCAGATCTCCGAGGTCCCTTATTGATCCCTGTTCGATTTGGTGAAGTCGGGCATGTCCTCTACAGGGGGAATATTCAAAAATATTGAAAATAGCATGGGGACGATTTTTTGACTATTTTTGAGTATTTGGGGGGCATTCTTTTAGTATTTTTTTAGTTTCCGCCCAAAATCCCCCTGTAGGGGGACGCGCCCGACTTATGATTTCGTCCCTGTCCTGGCTGCGTCGCAGCCGCGGGCCGCCGCCGGAGCGTCGTCCTGGCCTGTTCGCCCTCCCGCTCCTGTGGCGCAGGGGCGGTGGGTCCTCGTGCGGTCCAAGAGGCCACGCCCTCCTCCTCCTCCTCCTCCTCCTCCTCCTCCTCCTGCTGCTCCTCCTCCTCCTCCTCCTCCTCCTCCTCCTTCTCCTGCTCCTCCTCCTCCTCCTCCTCCCCCTCCTCCTCCCATCCTCCTCCTCCTCTCCTCCTCCTCCTCCTCCTCCTCCTCCTTTCCTCCTCCTCCTCCGCCCCCCTCCTCCTCCTCCTTCCTCCTCCTCCTCTCCTCCTCCTCCTCCTCCTCCTCCTCTGCTCCTACTCCTCCTGCTCCTGCTCCTCCTCCTCCTCCCCCTCCTCCTCCTCTCCTCATCCTCCTCCTCCTCCATCCTCCTCCTCCCCTCCTCCTCCCCTCCTCCTCCTGCTCCTTTCCTCCTCCTCCTCTCCTCCTCCCTCCTCCTCCTCCTCCTCCTGCTCTCCTCCTCCTCCTCCCTCCTGCTCCTCTCCTCCTCCTCCTTCTCCTCTCCTGCTCCTCCTCCTCTCCTCCTTCCTCCTCCTTCCTCCTCCTCCTCTCCTCCTCCTCTTCCTCCTCCTCATCCTCCTGATCCTCCTGCTCCTGCTCCTGCTCCTTCTCCTTCTCCTGACTCCTCCTGCTCCCTGCTCCTGCGCCTCCTACTCCTCCTCCTCCTCCTCCTCCTCCTCCCTCCTTCCCCCCCTCCTCCTCTCTCCTCCTCCTCCTCATCCTCCTCTTCCTCCTCCTCCTCCTCCTCCTCTCTCCTCCTCCTTCTCCGCTGCTCCTCCGCCCCCTACTCTCCTCCTCCTCCTTCCTCCTCCCTCCTCCTCCTCTCTCCTCCTCCTTCTCCTCTTCCTCTCCTCCTACTCCTCCTGCTCTCCTCTCCTCTCCCCTCTCCTCCTCCTCTCCTCCTCCTCCTCCTCCTCCTCCTCCTCCTCCTCCTCCTCCTCCTCCTCCTCCTCCTCCTCCTTCCTCCTCCTCCTCCTCCTGCTACTCCTCCTCCTCCTCCTCCTCCTCCTCCTCCTCCTCCTCCTCCTCCTCCTCCTCCTCCGCCCCCCCTCCTCCTCTCCTCCTCTCCTCCTCCTCCTCCTCCTCCTCCTCCTCCTCCTCCTCCTCCTCCTCCTCCTCCTCCTCCTCTTGTTTCCAATGTAGCGTGCCGCGCTGGCGGCCCGCGTGAGCCACCGCGTAAGGTCCCTACGTTATCTCGCGTAAGACCCAGTTTTGATCGTCGCTCACGTGGTTTCAGCCAGGCCCAGACGACTGTCCGGAGAGGTGGTTCGTACGTTCATTCGGTCCTCGTGCGGTCCAGTGCGCCAGCCCGCTTGGGGGTGCGGCTCGCTCTCTCGCCTGGCGCTCGCCACCAGCTGCGGCCGGCCCCGGATGAAAGAGGTCGGTGGGGCTTGGCACTGCTCGGGGCCCCCTGGGGTCGGGGCCCCCCGGGGTCGGGGCCCCCCGAGGTCGGGGCCAGGGCCGGGGCCAGGGCCAGGGCCGGGACCAGGGCCGGCCTCCCACCACAGAGGGAAGTTCTCCCTGTCCCCGCTGTCCACAGGTGGGGCCTCACTCTCTACCCTCCCCTATACCCCCCCCCAACACGCACACACACCCACCCTCCCCCAGGCGACCGGCTTTCCCTCCCTCCTTTCCCGCTCGCGTTTGTACTTCGTCCTGCTGTTCTCTCCTCCGTGCAGCGGCGACGGCGATGGCGACAGCGACAGTGTCGACGCCGCTGTCAACTCCGATGGGGGCGACGACGGCGACGCCGACAGCCATGACGCCGATGCCGCCGCCGACGGCGGCGAAGGCGACGGCGGCAACAAAGACGCCGCCCCCGACGCCGCTGGCGACGGGGGCGATGACGACGGCGACGGCGACGACACTCGCGGCGACGACGGCTGCGGCGGCGGCGGTGGCGACTGCGACGGCGGCGGCGGCGGCGGCGTGGGGCCCTCGCCCCGAGACAGGACCACCCGGACTCCGTCGTCTTCATCATGGAGTTCGCGGCGGGCGGGGAGCTCCGAGGCTACGTCGAGGGGCGCCGCCCGCCGGCCTCCGCCGGCCTTCGCCCTCGCCGCCCTCGCCGCCACCGCCGTCGTCGTCGTCGCCGCCTCCATCGCCGCCGCCGCCGCCGCCGCCGCCGCCGTCGTCGTCGTCGTCGTCGTCGTCGTCGTCGTCGTCGTCGTCGCCGCCGCCGCCGCCGCCGCCGCCGCCGCCGCCGCCGTCGTCGTCGTCGCCGCCGTCGTCGTCGTCGCCGCCGTCGTCGTCGTCGTCGTCGTCGTCGTCGTCGTCGTCGTCGCCGCCGCCGCCGCCGCCGCCGCCGCCGCCGCCGCCGCCCCGGGTCTCCTTGTCATCTGTCGGCAGTCATCGTCCGTTGTCGTCGTCGGCACTCGCCGTCATCCGTCGGCAGTTCTCGCCCGTGGCCGTGCGTCGTCGTCGTCCCCGTCGCCGTCCGACGTCCGTCGCCCGTCGGGATCGCCGTCGTCGCACCGGCCCCCAGGAACCCTGCCGACCTGCCGTCGGAACGGTCCCCGAAGATTGCCAGAGGCCCCTCCGAGAGAGCATCCCGAGGACGCCAAGGGGCACCAGGGAAGCCAAAGGGAGCGCCCGAGAGCCTGCGGAGGCCCCGCCCCCTCGCCCCCCGGGAGAGGTACCGCCGCCGCCTCGCCGCCGCCGCCGCCTCCCAGGTGGCCGAAGCAGACTGCGGCCTGGGCGCCCGAAACGCATGTGCTCTTCCTCCTCCTCCCCCTCCTCCTCCTCCTCCTTCTCCTCCTCCTCCTCCTCAGCCCCATCCTCTGGGATAATGGATCTCGCACTATGACAGTGCCATAATGTGTGTGTGTGTGCGCGTGCCCTGCCCTTGTCTTTGTCTCAGCTATTGCTGCCGTGGCTCAGGCATCGACCCCGCCTGGAGGCAGTCCTGATCCCACGAGCCCCGAGCGAGGTACAGCCAGCCCGCATAGGAAGGATGCGCAGCATTCCAAGGTCATCCTTGCATTATTCCCCTTCGGCCCACCCTTGGCCGCTTTCGCTGGCCGCGCACCGCCCGCAAAGTGCCGGCATGGCCTTCTGAGGCCCTTGCATCCTTACCGTGCGTTCTTATGACACGGGTTGACTGTAGGCTTAAGCCGGGCCTTTCTCTCTACAAGGGGAATATCCAAAAATAGTCAAAAAATAGTCTGGGGACTATTGTTTGAGTATTGTTGGGCGGTTTTGAGTATTTGTTGAGTATCTTTTATTTCCCGCCCGGAATCCCCCTGTAGGGGAGGGGACACGCTCGACTTAACCTATATAGGCCCACTGGCCTGCACGCACGGCCGCCGGCGCAGCCGAGGCGCGCGACGGAGCGCCCCCCCGCTTCCTCCCTCTACTCGTCCTCCCCCTCCCTTCTCCCTTCTCCTCCCAACTCCTCCCTTCTCCCTCTCCCTCCCAACTCCTCCCTTCTCCCTCTCCCTCTCCTTCTCCCTCGTCCTTCTCCCTCCCCCTCCTCCTCCTCCTTCTCCTCCTCTTGTCCTCTCCCCCGCTCTCCACACACTGGTCATCAGCCTGCAGATGTTGGGCAAAACGTGCACGGTTGAGGCTCCCTCGCCAGGGTAAGCTGGGAAGGCGACGCGCGTTGGAGTGATGCGGTTAGAAACCACAGCTAGGACACCACTCTTTCCAGGGGTGCACTATGGACTATGAGGCGTTCCAGAAAAGGCCTCGCCTTCCTGGATCGAAGGAGTTGCTATCTCTTCCTTGGCGGAAGGCGGCGGAAATCTGGCGGAGGGTGGCGGAATTACATGTTGCGGAGGCCTGCGGAAGACTGGCGGAAGCCGGCGGAAGTAGAAGATTCGCCAGGATCCCGCCACATATCTTCGCTCTTCTGTCCGTCCCTCCTCGGTACGCGACGCCCAGGGTTTGACCGCGCACCGCCCGGCGTGTGTCAGCAGCGGGCGTCTCCAGGGGGGCCCGCCGCGCTGAGGTGCATATCCTTCGTGGTCAGAGCGAGGGACGCCGAGCGGTCTCGCAGGGAGGCGGAGGGCGCGGCGGACGGGCGCGCGCGCAGGCGCAAGTTTCTCGGCGAGGACGAGTCCCGGGGTTTCTTCAAGCAGATCGTGCGCGCCGTGCACTACATCCACAGCAAGAAGATCATCCACAGGCGCCAGGGGGGGCCCGCTCCCACCCTCCCTTCTCCCTCCTCCTCCTCCTCCTCCTCCTCCTCGTCTTCCTCCCTTGTTTGACGTTGACCGGGCCTTATCCTAAGATTATAGCGTCTGTGAAAATCGCATGACAGTGCAGACAAACATTGAAATCGCCATACTGGATGGAATAAGCGGAATTGGAGGTGCGAAGAGAAACGGAAAAAAGGGAAGCCCGCGAGGGCAAAGAGTATTAAGTTTGCAGGCGTAGGCAAGGTAGTCTTCATCCCCCAATCTCGTCCCAACGTCGTACCTTCCCCCCTCCCACTTGCAGCACAAACGTGGCCACACTTCGTTGCGACACCCTCAGCGAGCAACGTTGATCGTTACAACGCACGGCAAACAACGAAATATGGCACAACCTCGCCGCGACAAGGCACTGTAGAGGGAGCGCGCGAGGACGCACTCGACACGATACGACTAGCGGTGGTCCTCCTACTCCATCTCATGAAGATCACCTCCACTTCCTCCAATAAGCCCTCACCGAGAGACATTGCGAATGGGGCCAACGTTTCGATGCCCCTTGCCCCCACCGAGGGCATTCTTCTTAAACTGGTCCCTCACCGAGGCTAGAGCTGAACTGAACATAGAGAAAACGCAACGACGCCCCTACGGAAGCGCTGCCTGTCGATGTCGGCGTCCTACCACCATCCATGACCCCGTCCCATCCCGCGTTCCCAATGCCAATATCCAGGCTGGCCAACTAGGCCTGGCTGGCCTAGTTTGGCAATGCGTAGCTCTGGCGGTCAACACGCTGGTCCACACGCGCGTCCTCCTTCACCTCCGTACCCATCCCACCTGAACCTCAGACATTCTCCAATCCATAACAGGTCCATCGGCGAGGGATGTTGCAGAGCCTGTGTTGCGATGCTCTGCGCGGCCCTCTTGGGCATTTCACTCGGACAAGATCAGCACTGCGAGGCCACGCTCACACGAAAGCCGACCCACCCACTTACACAGCTGGCATCCAGTCCATCCCCTCCCTCCGCGTCTCGGGATCCGGGACTGACGGCAGACGGAGGCGGCCTCCCAGACGGAGGGCGCCGGCTCTGTGGTCTGTCGCGGTGGCCACGTGCCTCACGGGCCCACCAGCACCACGCCCAGAGAGCATGGAGGCTGGGCGGGCCGAAGAGCGGGGCTACACTCAGCCGCTGCTCGTCTTGGAAAGCTGTTGCGCTGGATCACACACCACAGCATCAGCGGGCTCGGTCCACAGCAGACTGCAGAAGGAGGCAACCGAGCGCCCGCGATGGATGCCATCTCCTCCCCCACCACCTCGCCTCGATACCTCCCCCTCTTCGTCTCGGGTCCATGGTCTGCCTCCGACCACAAGGGCATACCACCACGGCCAGGATTGGTGGCGCAGCTGCGCTGGGCTCAAAGGTACACCACAACATCAACGTGCTCGGTCCAGATCGGGTTGCAGTGGAAGCAGCCGAGTGCTCGCACTGACTGCCCTCTAATCCTTCTCCATCCTCTGCGACACCCTCCCAGCCTCTTCCTCCGAAAGTGGTTGGGAAAAGTGCCCTAGCCGACTGACTTGTGAAGTATAGCTCCCGGCGGCCATCATGAACTATGGCTTGCGCCCTGACCGAAGGTCGCAAAATAGATTGCGAACTGGACAGCTCTAAGTCCAAGTACTTGGGAGCGCGACGCCGATCCAAAGTGGAGAAACTATGGAAATGATGTGCGATACGAGTTTGAATGATGCCGGCAGGGGCCAATGACACTTTGCCCCTCGCACTCTGTGCATGGCGACGCCCTCATCGAGGGTCGCGCCTAAAAATGCTTTCATCGAAGGTCGGTCCAAAAAGGGGTCTGGAAAATGTTCACAACCACCTCCACCTCGCTCCTCTCCTCTCCACATCCATACCTCCCCCTCTACGCGTCGGGCACCACGACCGGTGGCAGAAAGAAGCGGTCTGTCATACACGCAAATCAGTTGAGAGATGCCGACTCCATGGTTTGCCCTGGTGGCCAAGTGCCTCAGGGGCCCACCACGGCAAGGAAAATGGAGGCGGAGCGGACCGAGGAGCGGGGCTAAGTTGCGTCGCAGTTCGTCTAGGGCGCCGCTGCGCTCGAACACGCACCGCAACACCAAGGTCATCGGTCCACAGCAGGTTGCAGAGGAAGCGATCGAGCGCTCGCAATGAATGCCGACTACTCCTCCACCTCCACCTCAACGCTACCCACAATAACCCCATGCCCACGATAATAATGTACCCCCCCCCCTAAGTCGTTAGAGTCTTTTATCGTCGACCAATAAGAGTTTGGTCGGGGGCGCGGGGCGCGGAGGCCAAACTTCATTATCACCTCGGAACGTTATGTTGAGATAGCAAGATCAAGTTATGTTGAAATAGCAACATCAAGCGAAGCGATCACACTTTTTTCAGGATGTCTCAAGCGAAACCAAGAATTTTGGGAGGCAGGCTCAAACGAAACGAGCAATGTTTCAAGGATGTCTCAAGCGAAACCAGTAATTCTGTGAGGATGTCTCAAGCGATTCGAGAAGCTTGTCGAGGATGTCTCAAGCGAAACAAGCATATACTCGAGGATGTCTCGAGCGATTCGAGAAGCTTGTCGAGGATGTCTCAAGCGAAACAAGCATATACTCGAGGATGTCTCAAGCGAAACAAGCATATACTGAAGGATGTCTCAAGCGAAACGATACGTTTCTTAAGGATGTCTCAAGCGAAAACAACAATTCTGTGAGGATGTCTCAAGCGAAACCAAGAATTTTGGGAGGCAGGCTCAAACGAAACGAGCAATGTTTCAAGGATGTCTCAAGCGAAACCAGTAATTCTGTGAGGATGTCTCAAGCGATTCGAGAAGCTTGTCGAGGATGTCTCAAGCGAAACAAGCATATACTCGTGTGTAAGTGTGTGTAAATTAAGTCTAATAGATTTGGAACTTGATTTTTGTGCTCTTTTTCTTCCTCTTCTCTTCTCCTTCTTTTTTCTTAATTTCTATTTTTAGTTCTTTATATATATCTTTATTTCTTTCTTTTTTTCCTCTCTCTCTCCCCATGCCCCCCTGAACTTGTTTACCCCTGGGGTTGATTATCCACGGAAAGTGAGGCACATGAGCTACCCTACACGAGCACTTAAAAATTTTAATTGTCATAAAGCGCTTGTAAATAAAAATTAATACAGTAGAATCTTCAGATTTTTTGTTTTATCCTCCTTTCCTCTCCTCTTCTACTTCTCCTCCTCATTTCTTCTTGTCCTTTTCCTTCTTAATAATTATTTTATGTATTTCCCTCAACTCTCTCTTTGTTTTCTTTATTTCTCTCTTTATATCTTTCTCTCTCCCCATGCGCCCCTGAACTTGTTTATCCCTGGGGTTGATTATCCACGGAAAGTGAGGCACATGAGCTCCTACACGAGCACTTAAAAAAACAATTTTCATAAAGCGTTTGTAAATAACATATAATAGATTTGGAACTTGATTTGTTTTGCTTTTCCTCTTCCTCTCCTCTTCTACTTCTCCTCTTGAATTGTTCTTCTCCTCTTCATGTTCATTATTTCTTCTCTCTCTCTCTCTCTCTTTCTATCTCTCTGTCTCTCTCCCCCCCATGCCCCCCCTGAACTTGTTTATCCCTGGGGTTGATTATCCATGGAAAATCTGATAGGTTTTTTATTATTTCCTCTCTGTCTTTTTTTTTTCTCTCTCTCTCTCTCTCTGTGTTTCTCTATCTCTCTCTCCTCTTGCTCCTCTCCTGTCTTCTCCTTTCCTCTCCTCCTCTCCTTCCTCTCTTGCTTTTCATTATATCCTCTTCTTCTCTCTCTCTCACACTCTCTTTCTCAATTTTCATAAAGCGCTTCTAAATAAAATCTGATGGATTTGAAACTTGAAATTGTTGCTTTTCCTCCTCCTCCTCTATCTGTCTTTCTTTCTATATATATATATATATATATATATATATATATATTCTCTTCTTCTTATTATTCTTCTTATTATTCTTCTTCTTTATTATATTTTTTTTTATTTTTCTGCGAAATGTGTTATATATTTCTTTTAAAAAATGTTTTTATCTTCTTGTTGTTGTTCCTTCTCTCTCTCTCTCAGCACAACCCCCCCAGCACAACCCTCCAGCACAACCCTCCAGCACAACCCTCCAGCACAACCCTCCAGCACAACCCTCCAGCACAACCCTCCAGCACAACCCTCCAGCACAACCCTCCAGCACAACCCTGCAGCACAACCCCTCAGCACAACCTCTTGAGGTTTATTATCGTCGGCAGTTTTTTATCATCGGCAGTGGTCGATAGCAACTCCTGAGCTCTCCGGGAACACGGCGGCACGCAAATGATACGCATGTTTTTGAAAAACTTCATTTTGACAAAAAAATATTTTATTTAATTGCGAATTCCATTGAAATCTTTTCGAATTTGCGAAATCGAGCCGTCAGGCGCTTGAATGCCGCACTGCGTTCGAGATTTAGGCGAAAGCGTGTGCGACGCAATTTTCTCATGACACGCATTTTTTTGAAAAACCTTATTTTGTCAAAAAATATTATATTTGGTTGCGAATTCCATTGAAATCCTTTCGAAATTGCGAATTCGAACCCGCACGCGCCTGAATGCCACACTGCGTTCGATATTCGGGCAAAAGCGCGTGCGACGCAACTTTCTCATAAATGCGTCGCGTGCTTAAATCTCGAACGCAATGTGGCATTCAAGCGCCTGACGGCTCGATTTCGCAATTTTGAAAGGATTACAATGGAATTCGCAATTTAAAAAAGTGTTTTTTTTTTCCCTCAAAAAATGCGTATCTTTTGCGTGCCGCCGTCTTCCGGGAGAGCTCAGGAGTTGCGATTGACCACTGCCGATGATAACAACTGCCGACGATAATACACCTCAGCCGATGATAAAAAAAAATTGCCGACGATAATAAACCTCAGAGGAGCGCGCGGCGGGAGAGAGAGAGAGAGAGTCTCACCTCTCTCTCTCTCTCATTACTCTTCCCTCTTTCTCTGACTATCTCTCTCTGCTCAAGGTGAGCTGCTGAAGCAGAGCTGCTCAAGCAGATGGCTGCTCAGAGAGCAGAACCAGACAATGAGACCTTCGAGAATAAAAAACACAATTATTTCGAGGATGTCTCAAGCGAAATAAGCAATAGTTTGACGGTGTCTCAAGCGAAATAAGCAATAGTTTCAGGATGTCTCAAGCGAAATACGCAATAGTTTCAGGATGTTCAGGCGAAATATCAGCAATAGTTTGATGATGTTTCAAGCGAAAAACACAATTATTTCGAGGATGTCTCAAGCGAAATAAGCAATAGTTTGACGGTGTCTCAAGCGAAATAAACAATAGTTTGTGGATGTCTCAAGCGAAACAAGGGATTTGTCGAGGATGTCTCCAGCGATATAAGCCATTGTTGAGGATATTGTAATGAAGACTAAGCGCCAAGGATGTCTCAAAACGTGCTCGGTTTGGTTTCCTCTTGATCATCTCTTACTTCGAGATTATGCTGAGGTCTGGTGGGCTACTTTGATTATCCCCCCCTGAACCCCGAACTTTATTATCCCCTAGTGTTTATTATCGTGAGCATGGGGTTACCTCCCCTTTTTCGTCTCGGGGCAGTGGTCTGCCCCAGTGGCCACGTGTTTCAAAGGATTACCACCACGGCCAGGAATACGGTGGCGCAGCGGACCGAATAGCGGGGCTAGACTCAGCCGCTGTTCGTTGGGTGCGACTGCGCTCGAACATGCACCAAAACATCAACGTATCCGGCCCACCGCAGGTTGCAGAGGAAACAACCGAGCGCCCACAGTGAATGCCCTCTACCTTCCCACCGTCCTCACACACCCGTACCCAGCCCACAAGAGGAGAGGAGACGGAGCGAGAGGGGGGGAAAGGAGGGTACCAAAATATACAAAATATACGAAGGGGCTGGCCAGGGGGGGGTATGTTAGGGAAGCCTGCCATATCGTTTCTGTGATAAGGTTCATCCTGTCTGTGGTTGTGGCGGCCAAATAATCGCGAACGAAAGCTGGATCTATATTGGCGAAGTGTTGCTCGTCCGATGCGATCGTGGCAATGATAGATCCGACGTCTCGGTGAGCATTAGCATGATCCCACACTTTGTCTAACACCCACCTGTTCTATTCTTCCATGTGGTACTCGACGCGCTCGGCGGACCGCATGAATAACGACAATCGATCCGACTTGTCATTGCAGACTTTCTCAATCTAGTGGGCTTCACACAACAGGTATTTCTACCTGAGATAACGGACCAGCGGCATTTCGATGGATCCCATTCCCCTAGCGCGCCTTCTATCCCATTACACGCTGTATTGCGTAGGCCAAGAAGTCGAACTTTTTGTTGCCCTGTTTGAGAACTGTCCGACGGGGCGTCGGTATTGGAAGGCGGTGGCCCGTCATGATGATCCTCAGGAATTGGCGCACAGTCAATCCCGTTTCCCTTGGTGTGTAAGGTTCTGTGTTTGCCCAATTGTGTAAACGAAGTAGCCGCGCGTGCACCCTCAACACATGTATCTGAAAGAGGCATGGTCATATCCGTCGCAACTGGAAGCGATGTGTCGGAGCGGTTGTGCAGGGTGCTGCGCAATACAATAGAGTCTGTATGATTTGGTATCAGAGCGTGCAATTCGTCAAGCTTCGCTTCTGTCGGCAGACGGGGTGTGTACTGAGTGGTACCGCTCGGGACAATGTGTTGCAATGGATAAAATGGCGCCGATCAGGTTCCAACAATATGGTTTTGGAGGCGCCCATGAGTTGCCGCAGAACCGTTCCTCGAGTCGGGAGCACTTGAACCCCGCTCGACTTCCGTGCGGGACGCAGTGCGAATGCGCATGGGGCCTCAGAGCTACCCCTGCAGGTCCGTGAGCCAGGTGGCCCGCATCCATGAGCCTCCCTCGCCTTCCCCTGCAGGGCGGGATGACCCGGGCGCGCCGCACGGGCCCGGGTCGAAGCGGAACAACAGCTGCACAAACGCCAGTGGGGCGGGTCCAGCAGCCGGCGGGCCAGTCTCGGGTCTACAGGTGCCTTTGACCCAAGGAGCCCTCAGCTTTTCGCTCAATTTTTGGGCCCCTGGGGCCCTCTGGATTTCGAGAGGGGTGCTCTGGAGGCCATGGGGGCTCTTTGAAAATCCTGGGGGCACCTTGTGCCAGGGGTACTTCTGGCAACGCTCGATCGGAGAAGACTGCCAGAAACATAACGACTCGCTGGTCCGCGCCGATCTCTTGGGCCTGCAGTGGACCCCCCTCCCTGGCGCGCGGAGCGCGCCAGGGGCGGCGCTCAGAGGCCCCGGCGCCGCCAGGGATCCTGGCGTGCTGCCGACGGGGCCCAACGCAGCAGGGCAGGTCCAGGAGGATGAGGAGGAGGAGGAGGAGGAGGAGGAGGAGGAGGACGAGGAGGAGGAGGAGGAGGAGGAGGAGGAAGAGGAGAGGAGGAGGAGGAAGAGGAGGAGGAGGAGGAGGAGGAGGCTGGAGGGCCCACTCACGGGGCAGTCTTGAGCAGGCGCGAGCGCCCCCCAGGGCGCGTGCAGGTGCTGCTCCAGCCCGCCGCCCCGCCGACGCGCTCTGTGCGGTTGGCTCGGTGCCCATCCGCGCCGCGCTCCCTCTCTTCCCCTCCTGCCCCTGCTCCTCTCCTCTCCCCCTCCTGCTCCCTCCTCATCCTTTTCCTCCTCCTCCTCCTCCTCGTCCTCCTCCTCCTCCTACTCCTCCGCCTCCTCCGCCTCCTCCTCCTCCCTGGTATCGCTGTCGTTTGCCTTTTGTACGTCCCTCCTTCTCTTCTCCCCCCTCCTCTTCCAGCTCCCCCCCCCTCGTGCAGGGACCTGAAGCTAGAGAACATTCTTCTCGACGGGCAGCAGTGCTGCAAGATCGTTGACTTCGGTCTCTCTGACTATGTGTCCTCCAAGGAGCGCCGCGGCCAAGGCGGAACCAGTGAGCATTCACCTCTAGGAACTACTTGTTGGTGACATGCGGAAACAGTTCCGGGCGCTCTCGCCTCGATGCCGGCTCCATGTCCGTGTCTGTTTGAAGGCGAAGCTCCCGCTCGAGCGCGGGCTTGGCCTGAAGACGAAGGCCTAAAGACGACGATACCGACTGCCGTTCGATACTCCTCACAATTTGCACCCAGACGCCCTGGCCACAGGCCCCCGAACTCGAGAATGGCGCTCTCGTCCAAGACATCCTCGCAATGCAGGCGAGTTGGGGAACGCCGAACTACGACGATAACGGCTCCCCCTCGCTAGCTGCAGAGGCCCTCGAACTCAGGAACGGCGCTCTTGCCTGAAATCTCCTCGCAATTGCGTCAACTTGGCGAAGGCCCAACTACGACGACAACGGCTCCCACTCTATTTGTCCGCGCAACGTACTCCCACACGTCCTGGTCGGATGCTTTCCCACATCCAGAAAGGCGCAAGTGGGGCTGGTGCATGGACTTCGAGGGCGGTACAAGGGCGGGGGAGCCAGAAACGAAGGTCAACGCAGGTTGTCAAATCACACGTTCGCTAGATGATGATCGTCGTCGATGTCGTCTTCGTCGTCGTCGTCATTGTCGTCGTCGTCGACGACATCGTCGTCGTCGTCGACGTCGTCCTCGCCCGCCTGTCTCCTCATCCCCGCCGTCGCCATTCCCCTCCGCAGGCTTCGTGCATCTCCCTTTTTGCTCCTCGACCTCCCCGAGAATTCGGCGCGCGTGACTATTGCGAAGGCCTTACGGCCGGTGCCGCCGACCCTGTTCGCAATGCGCAGCAAGAGGCACGGGCTGTGGGATGGTTTTGGGGAAAGGGGAGAAGGACGAGAAGGTGGGGGAGGGAGGTGTCGTATCTGACCCGGGACTTCCCCGGGACTCCCCTGGGACCTCCCCCGGGACCCCCCCTCCCCTTCCCGTCGGGGAAGGGAAAGGGAAGGGACTTCCCTTCGACTCAATTACGACGTTGCTCAAGGTCGGTACGGGGGGAAGGCGTCGTATCTGACCCGGGGGGGGGTGGCTACCCCCCCCGCTACCCCCCCCCCCTCCCGGCGGGGGAGGGATCAAAGGGAAGGGGCTTCCCTTCGACTGAATTACGACGTTGCTCAAGGTCGGTACGGGGGGGGGCGTCGTATCTGACCCGGGGGGGGGGTCGCTATACCCCCCCCCCCTCCCGGCGGGGGAGGGATCAAAGGGAAGGGGCTTCCCTTCGACTGAATTACGACGTTGCTCAAGGTCGGCTTGGCTCGAGCGGCTCGGGCGCGGCTCGGGCGGCTGGGGCGCAGGACAGAGACGACGAGTACAAAGAATAACGGAGATGACGGCTCGAACGGAAAAGCCCCTCACACACGCCGACAGGGTCGGCGGATTTCCAAGACACGGGCACCAGGGCATATCGGCCCTCCTTCCTTGGGACCAGCTTCTCGCCCCAGGCTGTTTCTAAATGGTTCCAGGCCTGCTGAAGCTGGCCTTCAGAGCGTCGGGGGTGTCCGTGAGGGGGCCAAATATTGGGTGTGTGTATGTGTGTGGATATCATGGCCAAGGCAGGGAGATCTTCCCTGGCTTCTTGGCACCAGTTTCTTGTATCAGTGGGCCCCGAGAGGGTCACACTGTGAATGGCAGCCGTCTCGATTTGATGCGGTAGATCTGCTCTGCCAGGCCCCAGTTGGCGCACTCGAGCGGGCCAAACATTGTAAACAAGCACCACAGCCATCTCGATTCCTACGTGCCGCCAGATCTCTGGGTTTTCTCGTCGTCCGCGAACTCCTCGTCCATGCCGTGTTGCTTCCCTTCCTGCCGTTTCTCGTCCGTGTTGGAGGCGGTGTAGGGAGGAAGGCGCAGCAGGAGGAGAAGGAGGAGGTGGAGGAGAAGGAGGAGGATGAGGACGACGACGACGAGGACGAGGACGAGGACGAGGATGGGGAGGAGGAGGGGATGCAGGAGGAGGAGGAGGAGGAGGAGGTGGAAGAAGAGGAGGAGGAGGCGGACGAGGACGAGGAGGAGGGGAGGGGAGGGGGAGGAGGAGGAGGAGGAGGAGGAGGAGGAGGAGGAGGAGGAGGCGGAGGAGGACGAGGACGAGGATGGGGAGGAGGAGGAGGAGGAGGAGAGGAGGAGGAGGAGGAGGAGGAGGGGAGGAGGAGGAGGAGGAGGAGGAGGAGGCGGACGAGGAGGAGGACGAGGAGGAGGAGGAGGAGGAGGAGGAGGAGGAAGAGGAGGACGAGGAGGAGGAGGATGAGGAGACGAGGAGGAGGAGGAGGACCAGTGTAAACTCAAGATCTATTCACGATGTTGTAATAGTCCCTCCCTCCAAGTTCCCTCTTCATAGGCCCCTACAACGGTTCATTCCCACATGGGGAGTTACCCCGTTGGAAGACAACCGGTTGAAGATCCTTAAGCATGCCAAAACATTGTTCTCGGGACTCCAACGCCACGGATCAATCTGATTGTTGCGTCTTGACGATCCGGAATCGTGCCAGAACGCCATTCTTGTGACTTCAACGCCGAAGATCAACGTAACGGTTGCACTCTCCTAATCCTGAGTCTTTCCAGAACACAATTTCTGGTACGTTTTCCATGGGAATCCGTGAAGCTCTGTGCAAATTTGAAAAAAAAAAAAAAAAACAAATGTGCGCGGCGCTAAGGCGAGAGCCGCAGTTAGAAAAGGAACCACCCTCAATCCGTGCAAATTTGAAATAAACGAACGTGCGCGGCGCTAAGGCGAGATCCACATTTTGAACACGGGTCGCCCTCAATCCGTGAAATTCTTGCAAACTTTTAACGAATGTGCGCGGCGATAAGGCGAGATCCACATTTTGAACACGGGTCGCCCTTAACCCGTGAAGCTCCTTCTAAATGTTAAAATCGAACGTGCGCGGCGCTAAGGCGAGAGCCACATTTTGAAAACGGGCCGCCCTCAATCCGTGCAGCTCTCTGCAAACTTGCAAAAACCGAATGTGCGCGGCGCTAAGGCGAGAGGCACATTTCGAAAACCACCCGCCCTCCATCTGTGAAGCTGTCGCTAATGTTTAAGTTTCAAGGTCGTTAATGATGAGGAAGTCTCAGGCGAAACGCCCAGCCGGCCCTAAAAACTGGCCTCGGGGTGCGACAGGAAGAAGTTATTTACAGGGAAATCGAATGGAGGAGGAGGAGGAGGAGGAGGAGGAGGAGGAGGAGGACCACGAGCAAGGGCACCCCAATAGACCCTGACGGGTGCCTGACCGCGAAGGCCCAGTCCTCCTCTCTGCTCGCGGGGCCCATCAGGAGCGCACGGTGACCGACGCGGGCACGGAGGCCTACCTCGCGCCAGAGGCGCGCACCTCGCTGGCAGCCTTCAGGGAGGGAGGAGGGAGAGGAGGAGGAGGAGGCGGAGGAGGAGGAGGAGGAGGACCAGTGTGGACCCAAGAGTCATCAACGATGTTGGAATCAACCCTCCCTCCAAGCTCCCTCTTCATAGGCCCCTACAACGGTTCGTTTCCATTGAGGGAACTGCTTCCCTTCTGCAGACCTTGAAGGGGTTTCCACGCCACGGATTAACCTGACTGCTGCGTCATGACGATCTGGAACCGTGCCAGAACACCATTTTCGGGATTCAGCACAGCGAACCAACAGAATTGTTACACCCGCATAATCCTGAATCCTCCCAAACACAATTGCTGGTACGTTTTTTTCATGGGAATCCGTGAAACGCTTGCAAGTGTTTGATACGAATGCTCGCGGCGCTAAGGCGAGAGCCACATTTGAAAACGGGTCGCCCTCAATCCGCGAAGTTCTTGCAATTCTTAAGAACGAAGGTGCGCAGAGCTGAGGCGAGAGCCACATGTTGAAAACCACCCGTCCTCAATCCGTGAAGCTCTTGCAAACTACGGGAAACAACGAGTGTGCGCGGCGCAGAGGCGAGAGCCACATGTTGAAAAGAACCGCCCTCAACCCCTGAAGCTCTTGCAGTCTTTAGATCGAATGTGCGCGGCGTTAAGGCGAGAGCCACGACCCGCCTTCAATACGTGAAACTCTTTCTTAGTCTTACAACGAATCTGCGCGGCGCTAAGGCGAGAGCCATGTTTTGAAAACCACCCGCCCCCAATCCGTGAAACTCTTGCATTTTTACAGCGGATGCGCGCAGCGCTAAGGCGAGAGTCACATATTGAAAACCACACGCCCGCAATCCGTGAAACTCCTGCAAATGTTGAAAACGAATGTGCGCGGCGCTAAGGCGAGAGCGACATTTTGAACACGACGCGCCCTCCATCTGTGGAAGTGCTACCATTGCTTAAACTTCAGAGTCACAATTGGTGAGGAAGTCTCAGGCGAAACGCCCGGCCCGCCCTACAGACTGGCCTCGGGGTGCGACTGGGAGAAGTTATTCAGATAGGAAAAGGAATGGGGGAGGAGGAGCATGAGGAGGAGGAGGAGCATGAGGAGGAGGAGGAGAAACATGATGATGATGATGATGATGATGAGGATGAGGATGAGGATGAGGATGATGATGAGGATGAGGATGATGAGGATGAGGATGATGATGAGGATGAGGATGAGGATGAGGATGAGGATGAGGATGATGATGATGATTGTGGTGGTGATGATGATGATGCTGATGATGCTGATGCTGATGATGACGATGATGATGGAGGTGGTGGTGATGATGATGGTGGTGGTGGTGGTGATGATGATGATGCTGATGATGCTAAGCCGCCATTGCACTATCAAGCAGTGACGGCGCAGGCGGCTTCACCCCACCCCCCCCGACGCGCCCCGCCAGGCCGTCGCGGGAGGGGGACGCCAAGCCCGCGGCGCCGCGTGCGGCGCTCGCGGCAGGGCGGCGGGGGCCGGGCCCAGGGACCTGCCCCTCCTCCCTCCTCCCCCTCCGTCCCTCCGCACACGCGCGCAATGGCCACGCACTTGCGCACCGTGGGGTGGAACCCGTTCACCCTCTACGGTACGGGGAGGATGGTCGAGGTCTCGGAAGCGTTCAAAAATATACATGTACTACTACTCCCTGGAACTAAACTCCGATGCCGACCAGGGACCCCCCACACCTACGATAAGACCCACAGGCATCTGTTCGTGCACTTTGGGTGGGCTCGGGGGAGTATGACGAACGCTTCGGCAGGTCGTTCAATAGGTTTATCATCCAGCCGCTTTCGGGCTAAAGACATCATCAGGATCAACACCCCCCCACCCGAACTTGTCGGGAGGGGGGGCTCTTTGGACGTACACCAAGGCGCTTTCCGATCCAGGCTTATAGTTGCATATTTTCCACCTAGGCCGTCGTCAGCAGCACATGTACGACAATGGCATGTTGCATATCGACGTCTCCTCGATTGGGTTCCCCAGGAAATCACGACGACGGCGGCCCGAGTTGTTCCCCTTTTCTTTGGGGACCTGAACCTGAACCTCGGCCGCCAGGACGGGGGAGTGGTCGAGGACAGCAGCGTTGGACCATTCCAAGCTGCCGCCGAGAGCGACGTTGGCAAACTTGTACACCGCAGACTTCTTGAGCATGAATTAGCTGTCCCAAATAGTTTTTATGACCTTGGATATTCATTCTTTGGAAATAATGGTGCACGCTCGCGCATAGATTATTTTATCACACCACAACCGCTCATGAGCAACGTACGGTGCGTGCACATGTGTTGGCGCAGACATCGACAGTTGAACGTTCTCCGACATGTACTGGACCACATTCCCATGGCCATGGAAGTGACTGTCACCGCCCCTGCATCACCCCAAGAGCGGGGATACTGTGTCCGGGATTGGGGCTTGATTGCGGCAGGTCTACAGATTGGGCACGCACGGCGTGAGTTTCTCACCGACCTGCACGGCGCACTCCGACAGGCAGCCCCGATCCTCGACACCATTATTGAGGACGACGACCCCACTCGGCACGCGGCGGTCGTCAGCCACATCATACGCACCACGGCCATGAAATACTATTCCAAGGACAACAGCACGCCACAGTGGGTACAGGATGCACGTGCAGAGCGCCTCACCTTACTTCGTCAGCGCGCGTGTCTACGTGAGCAGGGTGCACAGTACGACTCAGCCCAGCTTAAAGAAGTCAACAGGAACATCAAAAAGTTTCAGCGGTGGAAGAATGACTGGTGGAAGTATTCTCTTGAGCAGGAACTACGGGAAGCATGGTCCCGACGGGAATCGGCGAGAGCGGCGGAACTAGCACGTCTACGGGCAGGCACGCGTACGGGTGCACGCAAGCGTTCATACCTCGCACCGCCTGCAGCACGCCCTCTCGCCTCCTCCTTCCTGTCCGCCGTCTCGTTACCAGGAGTCGAAGGAGGATTGGGAGCGAGGGAGGTGCACAACAGCATGTGGCTACGTGACACACAGGCAGTGGAGGCCCTCCTCGCCACTCCCCCCGCCGACGTACGTCCCATTGGTACCGTTCGAGCCAGTCCCGCCCCCGAAGACTACACCCAGGCATGTGGCGATCTTCGGTTCATTGGGGAGCGGATCTGGTCTCAGAGGCATCGACGGCATAGCCCCCCCTGGTCCTGGCCCGTGGAGTTTATTCTCATGATGTTTGCCCCGAAAGCTCTCACCAGGCCAGGTATCCCGACGGTTGGCATAGGACACGAAGACGCCGACTACTCAAAAATCCTGAGGCCTCGGAGGAAGCAGATCGACCAGAGCACCCTGGACTAGGATGGAATGGCACTCGCATCCGAGTCAGTCGTCCCGACCGCAGACAGCTCGGCGGCATATCCAATGAGTTATTTGCGGAGGCGCCGGCCGTGATCATCGCCCTGCTGGCGCACGTTCGATGCGCGAAACGACTCCCACAGCAGGCGGTCACGAGCCACGGCATCATGATCCCCAAAAAGAATCAACGCCCCACAGGAGATCCCGTCCGAGACATCACGGCTTGTTTAAGGATGATACACTGTTTTTGTCCCTGGTGGCGCTTTTACTTACGAGTTGGTTTGACTGTATATGGATCGGAGTTTTCGGCCCCTGATTGGGCCTATGGCGGTATTAGGAAACGAAGACGGGAGGCCCTGATGACTATCGTCAAAATCCTGGAATGGAAGCTTCGACACCATAAACTAGCGTACATGATAAAGTCGTACGACATGCGCAATGCATTCGGGACAGGTCACACATCCCTCCTCCTGGACGCGCAGGCCGCCCGACAGACATCTAGACACTTCACCCGCATGCTGGAGCTGCGCCGCACCGAGGCGGTGATCCGCGTGGACGCGGCGGACGCATCTATCTGCATTCGGCCTGGGGAAGGAGGGGGGATGGGGGACTCCAATGAACCTGAATTGTTTATGGGAGCCTTTTATCAGTCTGTGGAGCGATGGCATCGAGCTACTACCGACATCACAGGCCCCCTGTTCGAGTCAGAGTGCCCGATTACACACGAGACCCAGGACTTGAGTCGGGGGGCGTTCATAGACGACATGATCAGGATTCTCATCATCCCCGACGGATCCCTCAAACACACCCTCCTCCTAGATAAGTTGGATAACACTTTCTTCAATCGCGAGTTAGCGAAGGACGGGTACGCCCAAAACGTAAAGAAACAGGACACCCTGCTCCACCTCCGCCGAGCCCAGGACACCAAGACAGCAGAGAGGAGTATTGGAGGCACCCCCGTCGTCGATCTCATACACCTTGGAGGTTGCGTGAATGCCAGCGGGTCGAATGCCAGAGAGGTTACTGAACGAATCCGCTCTGGAAATATTGGCTGGTGCAACTTGGGCCATTTTTGGACGGCCCCTGGACCCCTCCGCTGCAAACGTATGGCTTTTATTTCCAACGTTGCTGGGAGAGTTTGGTCGGGACTGGAATCCTTTGTCCTCCTGGAGAGCGAGGCGCGAAGGTTGGACAGATCATTGGCGAAGAAGATACGCGCCATTCTCCTAGGGAAGGCACACGAGGTCACCGAGGAGGGGGAGCACCGATCCCTCACGAACAAACAGGTTTTCGAGGAGCTAGGCATCGCCCCGACGGCCATCGAGCTACTCATCCGTCGACTGGGATGGTGGCAAGCAGTCGTTGCGGAACCCGATCACCATGCCCAGTATCTCGCTGCAATATTCGGTCAGTGTAAGTTTGAGCTCACGGCCACAGAGTCCGAGACACACGCCCCTCTCACCGACCTCGGCCTCATGAACGACCACCCCGATGTTCGCCCATGGTTGCGACAATTCCGCGAAGATATCGACGTCTTGCTGGCGCGTCCGATGGCAGCCGATCCACGGTCAATCTGGGACCCGCCGATTGTTGCCCGATTATTCCACGACCCGACGATCAGCGAGAGGTTCCGATATTACGACATGCGAGAGCTCCGCTCCACGTTCGTCTCCCAGGAATGGGCACCACCCGAAGCTCTACCCATCACCACCCACCTCCCACCTCCCGTGTCGATCCCCGTTGACTCCGACGACGAGGAACTACTCTACGTATGCGGGCTGGGGGGGTGCGAGCAGAGATTCGCCACCGCCCATAAGTTAGTCACCCATCAGGTCCATTCTAAGGCCCCAGGACACGGCTGGCCCCCGATCCTCACGACGCTTACGGTTGACAACAAGTGCCTGATGTGCAACACCGTCTTCCAGAATATGGAACATGCGATCCGTCACCGTCGTAGGTCATGGCTCCAGGGACGTTGCCTACCAGACCAAACTCGACATGTATATACATATGTTCCCGCTGGTGTACGCATGTGTCCGTATTCGGCCGTCTCGAAGAACCCCCAGTGTTGCATAGAGGCTAACTCGTTGGAATCCCTGAGGGCCCACTTGCGTCTACACGTACCACTGTCGCCATCTGGCTCAGCTTGGAAGCAGCCCGACACGCCGACCACCCGCGGGCCCACCAGCAGTGGCCCGCCCTCGGGGCCTCCCGCGGTCGCAGCAGCTCGCGACACCGCGGCAGCCGCGGACACCGCGGAGGCCCGCCAGGCGCTCCGTGTGGCATCTCATCGCCTTCTTCTGCCTCGTGCTCCACCAGCGGCGGCAGCTGCGGCCCGACCTCGCGCCGCACGACGGCACGCTCCTGACCGAGAACAACCGCCAGTGGATCCACCACCTGGCCCACCGCTGCCCTCGCCCACGGCCGTTGCGGCGCGCCTGAGAGGACAAGGCGCCACCACCACCCCGACACTTCCTGTTCGACCCGATGGCGGCGGCGGCGGCGAACGACACGCCGATGAACCGCGCCAAGACGACGTGGCGATTGCAGGCCTCATCGGACCCCTCCAAGACTTCTGGCGGCGCCTCAGCGAGCAAAGGGCGGGACGGGGACGGAGCGCCGCTACAGAAGACACAGAGGGGGGCCGAAGGGGCCAAGGGCGGAGGCAAGGACCAGGCACCAGAGGCAGAGACGGACGCACCAGCACGCCGTCGACGCGGAGGCCAACGCCACCGGCGTGGACAGCACACCGAGAAGAAGTGGACCAGCAAGGACCCGAACCTGATGCAGATGATGACGATCATGGGCAAGTTGACATTACAGAACAGCCATCGAGCCAGACTTGCGCTGGCCACGACCGCCGACGCGGCCAACCTGCCGACCAGCCACTCGCTCGCGGTCGCGATCTCGGAGGACCTGGACATATTCAAGCAGCACGTCGAGAAGCTCCGCCAGGGCGACGACGGCCAGAAGGAGGAGCTCAAGACTCTAGGGTCGCCGACAGCCTCGCTCGTCCTGGCCGCCATGGAAGCGCCCCGCCTGTGCGACATCGGGGGCGCCAACAAGCGGGCCATCCAGGAGTGGCTGGATCGGACCGCGCTCGACGAGATGGACGAGAACCATATCAGCAAGACGGACATCGAGGACGCAGTGGACTTCATGCGGATCGAGAAGTGCCACGACGCAGCCAGCACGAAGATCCTCTTCTCCATGAAGGCGTGGAACATGAGGAAGGTCGTGCTCAACTCCCTCCGCTGCGAGGGCAAAGCCAAGGTGCACACGGGCGTGATGCCTGCAGGCTGGCTCGAGGAGGAGCTGTCGACATGGGTCCAGGCGCTAAGCCGCTAGGACGTGCTCCTCCCGTCCTCCCGACTAGGCACGGCCCGCTCGCACGCTCTCTGTCTCAGCCAGTTAGATTTGTGCGTGCCAGTTCGCCGCCACGCGCGGCACCCGAACCTCAGCGAATTATCTTTGCAGCTCAGCACGTGTCCAAGGCTTCTGGGGACGACCGTCAGGACTCTGTAGGCGATTGCATGGGTGAATTGCCGAGTCTAGACGACGCATATGGAGCCGACGAGGAAGCAGCCGCCTTCCTCGGACACGAAAGGATTTAGAGTATGCGCGTTCAGTTCAAACCAGCTTGCACTAGCCGCCCGACTCCCATGCCGCCTGCCATGCCGCTCGAGCTCCAGGCCGCACCAGCGCTTCGCGACACAGACGGAAGGCACAGTCCTCCCGTGCAGCGGGATTTCTTCCGAATGGCATCGTGCCATCGTTTTTGTCACAACGGATTGCAGCCCACTGCAATCGTGGTTTGTACTCATCCCTGATGCTGACGTATAAACTGATGATGCTGATGATGATGAGGATGATGATGAGGACGATGAGGATGATGCTGTTGCTGCTGCTGCTGAGGAGGAGGAGGAGGAGGAGGAGGAGGAGAGGAGGAGGAGGAGGAGGAGGAGGAGGAGGAGAGGAGGAGCGGAGGGGAGGAGTGAAAGGAGGGAAAGGGAGGAGGGAGGAGGGAGAGGAGGGAGGAGGGAGGAGGGAAGGAAGGAGAGGAGAGAGGAGGGAGAGGAGGGAGGGGGAGGAGGGAGAGGAGGGAGGAGGTAGGAGGGAGGAGGGGGAGGGAGGAGTATGGGGGCAGGACGGGGAAGGAGGGGGGAGCGGGGAAGAGAAAAAGGAGGAAAAGGAGGAGGAAAGGAGGAGGAAGGAGGAGGGGAGGATGAGGAGGAGGAGGAGGAGGAGGAGGAGAGAGGAGTGTGGAGGAGGGGAGGAGGAGGAGGAGGAGGGGAGGAGGAGGAGGAGGAGGAGTGAAGGGTGGAGGAGGGAGGGGACGGGGAGGTGGAGGAGGGAGGAGGGGGAGGAGGAGGTAGGAGGGAGGATGGGGGGGGAGCGGGGAGGAGGGAAGAAGAGGAAGAGGAGGAAGAGGAGGAGGAGGAGGAGGAGGAGGAGGAGAAGGAGGAGGAGGAGCAGGAGGAGGAGGAAGAGGACGAGGAGGAGATGGCGTGGAGGGGAGAGCGAGGGTGCGCGTCCGAGGAGGGCGAGGGCGAGGGCGACTCCGAGAGCGGGGGCCGAATTGAAGGGCTGCATAGCGGCTGCCGCCTGGCCTCCGCTCGCGCTTGCGTGAGCGCTCCACGCGACGAAGCCGCCGATGGCGATGCCGCCGACGGCGGCCGCGGCGAACACGACGAAGATTGTCGCCGACGACGACGTCGACGACGACGGTAGCGACGACGGCAGCAACGGCGAAGGCGGTGACGACGGTGGTGACCACGTTGACGCCGCCGACGAAGACCCCGACGCCGACGCCGATGGCAGCAACGGTGACGGCGACAACGACGATGCGATGACGCCGACGATGCCGACGAGCGCGCCGAGGTCTGGAACGGCAGCTCGGATAAGTCCGACCCCTACAAACTGGACGTCCGCCCCTGCCCTCTGGGAGGGGGCGCCGTCCACACGTCGGCCGCAAAAGGTGATGATGCCAGGTAGATAGCCCGCGGGGCTGCGTAGATAATCCCTCTCCGCGTGGGTAGGCTGGCGCACAGTGCCAGCGAAACTTCACGGGCACGGTCGATGGCGTCTCCGCGCGCTCTGGTGACGTAGCAGCAGAAACAATGCGAGCTACGGAGCTTGTCAGTGAGCGAATTAGTGTAACCCCCGCTCCAGGGAGGCGTCGTACCGCTGGCTTCGCGAATCATGACATGGGCGAATGGTTTGATGTATACACTTGTGTCTACCGAGACAGGATTCGCCACCCTATTCAACGCCCGCTTGCTCGGTTATGGGCAGGTGGATGGTAAGTGAAAAACAAGCTACGCTCAACCCTAGCTGGAACTGAGGGCACAGGGGTGCTGGGTGGAGCCCCAACGAAGTCACTGCCGCGAAGCTGCCTGCAAGGCCTAAGCGTTGCAGAGGCAAGCCGTGCACAACGTGGAAACGTTTTTATGATGGTCGGTTTGCTTAACGTTTTCCATCCACGTCCATGATGAGACCAGGCTCAGTGATCGATCGGATGCTTGCGTGTTGCGCATCGCGCGGCGCGAGGCAGACGGCCAGGTGGCCCAGATCCACCTCCTCCTCCCCAGTGTCCTCCCGCCCCGTGTCTGTGTCCTCGTCTCCCCTTTCCCCTCTCCCGCCGGTTCCCTCGCTCCCCCCTCCCTGCCTCGCCCATTCTCTCCCTCCAGTCCCCAGCCATTCCCTCACTCACCCATTCCCTTGCCGCCTGCCTGCGAGAAGTGAAGACACCCAGTGGGAGCATCATTGTCGCTCCGTCAAGCCCGTCGTCGACGGTGATGAAACCATTGCAACATTTTTATGCGGTCGAGCCGTGGTCCCCTCGAGGTTTCTGTTACTTCTGCACACGGGTTCTGGAACCATTCTGCATGCCATCATGGTAGAGACTCGGGTTTGGCCAGTCGCGTGTCGGACCTTCGCGGCCAGAACCGCGAGGTGTGCCGTCTTTGTCACGTGGCGCTGGTCGGCGGCGAGCGAGGGGGGGAACTGAGAAGGAGAAGGCCTTCACAGAAGGTGTCGGGACTTCCCCCGCGCCGACGGCTCAGAAAATGTCTCAGAAGGTCGGGGGATTTCCGAGCCTTCTGAGAAGGTCCGCCCCTTTTCGCTTCCCGCCCCCCCGTTCGCTTTCAAGCTGGATGTTGCTCCCTCCTCCGTATGCATCGCGCTATGTCGTAGTGGCTCTTTCTTTGGAGACGATAAAGGGGCGCGCGCCGAAATTCATTCCAAACGAAATCGAGCTTTTCTTGATGGTTTCAGTGTGGGGGCGCGACCTGCCGCGCGGTGGTTTCCCGGCGCATCTCAGAGCGTGTTGACCCATAATGCGAGGCTTTCGCTCTGCACGTTGCGCATGCTATCGCGTGCCAATCATGCGTGGCTTGAGCTACTTCGCAGACGCTTTCTGGCGAGGCCCTTCGAGGGCCCTCTCAGGGTGTCCGCCGGGGCCGCCGAGTGCCGACAGCTCCCGGCAGCCATTGTCGGCAATTGACAACAGCAGCGCCGCCGAAACAGCCGTCGAAAGGGCCGCCGACATTGCCGCCGAAAAGGCCGCCGAAAGAGCCGTCGAAATCGCCGCCGAAATTGCGGCCCAAGTTGCCGCCAAAACTGCCGCCGAAATCGCCGCCGAAATTGCCGCCAAAGTCGCCGCCGAAATTGCCGCCGAAATTTCCGCCGAAATGTGTCTGTGTGTGAGTGTGCGTGCGTGTGTGTGTGTGGTGGGGTGGTAGCGCGGCACAGTTCGCAAGCTAGTTCTCCGGTGGATTGGGCGATTCGCGTTCGCGTTTCAGTATCACTGTTGTCTTCTCGTGGCGTCCCCCATCCATTGTCTGGTCTTCGTGATGTTTTTTCTTGCATGTCCGTGCATGTCCCTGCATAGTTGCTTCTCTCATGACAGGTGCGATGCAACCATTAAGCTAAAGCAGAGGCGAACCGAGTCGCACACTCCCGCCTTGCTCTCTTTCCCTATGTATTCCCCCTTCCATTCCTTTTCTCGCCTTCGTTATTTCTGCAGCTCCGCCGTCTAACGCCATTATTTTCTCCATAGTAGTCGTCATCGCTACCATCACTGTTCCCGCCCGCCATCATCGTCACACCATCGCCCCGCACCAGCACCATCACCATCAGAAGCGCCGCCATCACCATCACCATGACCACCACGGCTGTCACCATCATCCTCACCCTCATCATCCTCGCCATACTGTTCCTCCCGCTCCTGGTGTTCCTTCTTGTCTCCTCCGCATTCTTACAGCCTTTGTCAGCTACATGCGAGTATGTTGTGCTGTTCCTACAGGTCTGGAGCATGGGCGTGATCTTATTCGCGATGGCGGGGGGGAGGGTGCTGTTGCCGTGGTGCATGGTGGTGAAGGAGGATGATAAGGATGAAAGGCGCGGAGGCGTACGGTGGGGGGGTCGAGGAATGATTCTGGGCGCAAAGAGGTGGATGATGCGGAGGATGAGGACGAGGGAACGGATTTAGGGTGGGAATGATGCTGTTGCCGGCCTGCTCCGCCGCGTCCCTCCTCGTCTTGCCCCTTCCTCCTCCTCCTCCTCCTTCCTCTTCCTCTTTCTTCCATGGTTCTCCACAGGGATAACCACAAGGACACGTTTTGCAACAACTCGCCGAGCGCGTTTCACTACTCGCAAAGTGCTTACTCGCAGGCGTCCGAACAAAACAACCATACGTCTGCCTTTGTGTCATATATCGTAACTCCTCTGCGGCGCTTCCAGGCCATTTGCGAGTAGCTATTTTGCGAGTCCTGGAACGCGCTTGTCTAAAAGCTGCCGTTAGGTGGCCTCTGTCAGTTTTCTCTGTCAGTCCGGGAACCTGCAGCACAGCGATGCGCGCTGCGGACAGCTGCCCGTGCGGACAATTGCCCGCATTTCCGCCATTCTCTTCCCACTCCTTCCTCCTCCTCCGACTCCGACTCCTCCTCCCGCTCTTACCTCCCATTTCTCCCTCCCCCTCCTCCAATCCTTTTCCTTACCCATAGCTCCTCCCTGTCGCACCCCAGAGCTGGTCGAAAGATCGGGGCCGGCGTTTCGCCTGAGTCTTCCTCACCAGTGAAGCCATTGGCAGCAGTTTCGCAGATGGAGGGCGGGGCGCTTCCAATATGTGGTTCTCGCCTTAGCGTCGCACGAACGTCTTACAAACTTGCAAGAGTTTAACGGATTTGGGATGGATCGGTTTCAAAATGTGGCTCTCGCCTCAGCGCCGTACACCTTCGTTAAACAATTGCAAGACCTTCACTGATGGAGGGTGGGTTGTTTTCAACACGTGTCTCTCGCCTTAGCGCCGCGCGCACTCGTCTTCAAAGATGGTAAGAGTTTCACGGGTTGAGGGCGGGTGGCTTTCAAAGTGTGGCTGTCGCCTTATCGCCGCGAACATTGTTTTCAACATTTGCAAGAGTTCCGCGGATTCCCATGGCCAACGTACCGAACTGATGTTTTGGAAGGACTCAGGAATGTGAGGGTGCAACAGTTTCGATGAATCGGGGTGTTGAAGTCCCAGGATTAGCGTTCTGGCACGATTCAGGATCGTCAAGACGCAACAGTCAGGTTGATCCGTGGCGTTGGAGCCCCGAGAATGGTGCTTTGGCACGCTTCAGGGTCTTCAAACGGTTGTCTCCCAATGCAGCAGTTCTTTCAATGGAAACGAACCCTTGTAGCAGCGTGCGAAGAGGGAGCTTGGAGGGAGGGTTTATTCCAACCTCGTTGATGAGGCTTGTGTTTGCACTGGTCGTCGTCGTCCTTCTCTTCCTCCGCCTTCGCCTCCGCCTTCGCCTCCTCCTCCTCCTCCTCCTCGTCCTTCTTGTGATGACGCTGTGCGATCTCGCTGAACCAGCCAAGGTTCCACGCGCTGGCTCGCCTGTTCCAGGTGGGCCTTCGCACGGCTCCAGGCTTGCTTGGTGCACTCGTGGGTATGGTGTTGCGGAGGGGAGCGCGATTGTCTTGAGGAGATATATCACGAAATCTGTTTTTTTACCGAATAATGACTGTTGACCCCCCCCTGGCCGGTGCACACTGTGGTTTTCAATTAACGTATTCCTCCTGGGGCTTGCACCCTGTTCTGTCTCAGGGAAGGTCTTGGTCCTAAAATTGTGTTGTTGGCCCCCGATGATGATGCTGATGCTGATGCTGATGCTGATGCTGATGCTGCTGATGATGATGATGATGATGATGATGATGATGATGGTGATGGTGGTGGTGGTGATGATGATGCTGATCATAGTGCTGCTGATGCTGATGACGACCACGACGACGATGATGCTGGTGATCATGATAAGGGTGAGGATGATGGTGCTGCTGATGCTGATGATGCTGCTGCCATGATACGACATGACATGATATGATACGATGTTGTACGATACGATATTATGATGGTGATGATGGTGCTGATGATCATGATGGAGAGAGCGTGATCCACCGCCGCTTTACAGTGGAACATTCCCCCCTCTTCCTCTGGAACTCGGGCGTTCCCCCCCCCTTCGAAAATCCCCCCCCCTGCTGGACCTCCCCCTCTCCCCCGGCAACCCCCCCCCTAGCCCCTTTACCACCCCCCTCTCCAGAAATCCGAGGGGGGTCACTGCCGGTTCGGACCCCCTCCCCACCCTCCAGAAAACCGGGGGGTCACTACCGGTTCGAACCCCCCCCCCTCACCGCCGGCAAACGACTCCCGGGTGGGTCCCCACCACCGTCCGCACCACATCCCCCACCGCTGTCCCCAGCACCACCGTCCCCATCACCACTGTCCCCACTTCTCCCACCACCGTCCTCATTGTCCCCACCAGTGCCCCCACCACTGTCGCACTGTCCCCACTGTCTCCACCACTTTTCCCACCACGGTCCCACTCTCCCCACTTTCCCCACTGTCCCCACCACTGTCCCACTGTTCCCACTGTACCACTGTCCCCACTGTCCCCGCCGCTGTCCCACTGAACTGCCCCACTGCTCCCACCACTGTCCCCACTGTTCCCACCATTGTCCCACCACGGTCCCTACTCCCTGGTCTTCTGCCCAAGCGTAAACTTTCGGATATCCGCGCGGATTTCCTGGATCGACGCTGGCATAGCCGCTCAGGAAGGGCGTCTCGGTCAGACCGGCATGACGATCACTGGGGGCAACGCAGATTTGCCTCGAGCTCGCGGCCATGAGATGCTGGCCCGACATGCTGGCATCGCAGATTGTCGTCCCCAGAAGCGGGCAGGGGGACAGAGGTCATCTGCCAGCCCCAGAGCGTGGTGCCTGCTGACCGCCGTCCTCACCACCGCCCTCACCACTGTCTCCACCACCACCGTCCCCACCACTGTCTCACTGTCCCCATCACTGTCCCAGTGCCCCCACTGTTCCCATCATTGTCCCCGCTGTCCCCACCAGTGCCCCCAACAGTGTCTCACTGTCCCCACTTTCCCCAGCACTGTCCCACCACGGTCCCACTCTCCCCATTGTCCCCACTGTTCCCACCACTGTCCCAGTGTCCCCACTGTTCCCACCATTGTCCCACTGTCCCCACTGTCCCCGCCGCTGTCCCACTGTGCTATCCCACTGTCCCCACCACTGTCCCACTGTCCCCACTGTCCGCACCACTCTCCCCACTGTACCACTGTCCCACCACCGTCCTCACCACCGCCTTCACCACTGTCCCCACCACTACCGTCCCCACCCCTGTCCCACTGTCCCCACTGTCTCCACCACTGTCCCGCTGTCCCCTCACCACTGTTCCCACCACCACCGTCCCCACCATTGTCCACCTCTCCCCACCACTGTCCCACTGTCCCCACACAACTGTCCACACCACCACCGTCCTCACCACTGTCCCAGTGTTCCCACCACTGTCCCACTGTCCCGAGAAGCGGGAATCGTTTGCCGGCGGCGAGGGGGGGGGTTCGGGCCGGTAGGGATCCCCCCCCATTTCATGATGGAAGGGGGGGAGGGGGGGTTCGAACCGGGAGTGACCCCCCCCCGGTTTTCGAAGGGGGGGAGGGGGGACGGGTTGGGACCCCCCAGTGACCCCCCCCCGGTTTTCCGCCAGCAGTGGTAGAACACGTTTTTTCTGATCATGATGATGTTGTTGCTAATGATGTTGAGTATGCTGCTGCTGATGATGATGGTAATGATGGTAGTGATGATAATGATCATGATAATAATGATGCTGCTGATGATGATGATGATGATGATGCTGGCGATGATGATGACGATGATGATGATGATGATGATGATGATGATGCTGATGATGCTGATGCTGATGCTGCTGATGCTGATGCTGATGCTGATGCTGATGATGATGCTGATGCTGATGCTGATGATGATGCTGACGATGATGATGATGATTATGGTGATGATGATGATGATGATGATGATGCTGATGCTGATGCTGATGCTGATGATGATGATGATGATGATGATGATGATGATGATGATGATGATGGGGTGGTGGTGATGATGATAATTGTGATGGTGATGGTGAGGACGATGGTGATGATGATGATACTGCTGCTGATGGTGGTGGTGAAGATGCTGATGATGGTTGTGGTGATGATAATGACGATGAGGAGGATGAGGAGGAGGAAGAGGAAAAGGAGGAGGAGGAGGAGGCTTGAAGGAGGGCGAGGAGGCGCATTGAATCCTTCTGCTGACTCTCGTGCTTATGTTCATCGTACTTCTTCCCCTTCCTCCTCTGCCGCTGCCGCTGCTCCCGTCCTCCTCCTCCTCCGCCTCCTCCTCATTCGCTTCCCACTCCTGTGCGGTGCGTTGCATCCCACTCGTGTTCCTCCTCGGCCTGATCCTCGTGAGTCCGGCGACTCGGCTAGTGAGGTGCCCCGCCCTTCCCACTCCTCGACACGTCTCCCGACGCGTGCATGATGTGCGATAGCATTCACACCTGCTGACCTCTGTAGGCAGTAGGACCACAGTAGAACCACAGACTGATAGCATCTGACCGCCGTGCCTGTGTGTACTGGCGCCAGGCGGGTCGGCCTCTCGTTTGGGGGGGGGCGGGATCACGAATGCCTCCGACGGTGCGTTGCTCGCGGCGCCAGGCGTGCCGGCCAGAAACAAGCCACTCGGGGCCTCTCGATGACTTTTTTCTGGGGCGGTTTCCGTCGGAGGATGGGGCGCCCTTGCTTCTCGTGCACCGCCTGGCTTCAGGCGTGGGGTGCACGCCGCCGCGAGCGTTGCCAGCCTGCTCAGCGGCCGCTGGGCAGCGGAATTCAGCCAGCCAGGTCGTCACGACGCGCACCTCTTTAGGCATCATGATCACAGACTGATAGCGTCTGACGTTTCTCTTGCCCTTCTGCATGCAGGCTCTGATGGCAGGCTGGGCCGGCA